TCACATGAACACCTAATTTATAATGTCAGAGAAATCTTGACTATATCATGGGTATACAAAAGATTTACCATTTGTAAATCTGACTAAAATTTCAAGATTCCCTAGCATTTAATGGCACAGCCGCACAGGTTTCAAGCATCACTCTTTCAAACCCCAGCCCACATATATTTCTGGGTTTCAATTTCAAAACTTCCACCATTGAATGGCAAATTTTAGTGATATATGTATTTGGATTGAATAGTAAAAATGCCCCAACATATCTTTTATGTGGGATTTTCTGTTTACAAAAAGTATCTTCCTTTTCTGCTCATATAAATTCTTTTAAAAGTTTATATTTGAACCCTTGTTTTAACAAAATTTCCACGTAAATAAGGCAAAATAAAGCATCCTGACATCTCTTAGCTAAAACCAGGCACTCTCCAAAAATTTCAAAAGATACACCTCAATTATTTTCCCTCTCTTGAATAATGTGTATTGAATAAATCCTAACATTTGACTACCACAAACATCAATAACCAAAAATGATATAGTTAGCAATCAATACAACCATAGAAAAGGAACTAAAAAAAAAAAGAACATTCTCAATACCTCGTGTCAATTGCTTCAGACTGCACTGTCTTCTCAACCTCATCGACACCGGCCTCCGTTGTACCCCCTACCTGACCCCTCCTAAGCCATTGCTGCTGCTGTTGTTGCTGCTTCTGCTGCTGAATCTGTTGCTGTTGTATCTGCTGTAATTGCTGCTGATGATGCTGAAAATGCTGTTGATGTTGCTGCTGTTGTTGCTGCCGCTGAAACTGATGCTGTTGCTGGTGATGATTCTGCATCATCCCTCTTTGCGCGTAATGTTGCTGGTGTTCATAATTCCTACGTTGAAAATTAGGGTTTCCACCACCTCCGCCGCCTACATCTACGCCCATTCCGCCTCTACCTCTGCCCATTCCAGGAGGATAACGACTGTTGTCATTCATCTTCGAAATTCGCGAAATCTAAACCCTAAAATTTCCCAGAAATCTAAACCTAAACAAATGAAAACCCAGAAATCCTAAGGATTATATGTATATACACAATCCGAATTTTTGCGAATTCGAAGAAGAATAGTGGACGTCCAAAAAAAAAGTGCCACTATTATCAACTTAAATGCCTAACAAAGATTTCAGATCTGTACTATAAAAAAATAAAAAAAATAAAAAAAAAAAAGAAGATTGTAAATTAATCAATGAGAAGAAAAAAATCGAGAAGATTTTAGGGTTTCGAAACTGCGAAAATTTGAGGGTCTCAAATTAAAGTGCGATAGGAGTAATTAATTGTAAAAGTAATTTGAATTTGAAGATTTTGGGAGAACGAAATTAGGGTTTGCTCATGGTAAAGATCAAAATTTTGGGGGAAAAAAGAGGGATTTTTTTTTTTTTCGATTTAGGACGAAGCTTTTTGATTAGTTTGGAGAAATTGTAATTGTGAATTTGGAATCGGGGGAAAATTAAAAATGAAGGTTGGAGATAGTATGAGTGTAAATTATCTTTGGAGAGACGATTACGGTTAAATTACTAACTTGGGTAAAAGAAAATGATCAATACAGTAAATTTTAAAATATTTTATATTGAAAAAACCGACAGTAATGAGATTTTTTTTTTTTTTTTTTTTTTTTGAGGTAGTAATGAGAATTTGAGAATTGAGATAGGTCGTGTTTGGGGAAAAGCAGAAACTTGATTGTGTTAGCTGATTTTAAGTAACTGAGTGTATTAACTGATTGACTAACTTACTACTGTTTTATTAGCTTGTTGTAGAAAAGTGTTTGATAAATAGTTGATTGATTATGACCATATTTGGTAATTAGAGTTGTTTAGGGTATTTTTACCCTAGACACGTGGACCAATGAGAGGTCGCCACGTGTCAAGGTCAGGATGGCCCATGTGGCTCAACATCCTCTTGACACTTGGCGCCCTCAGATATGTTTCTGAATTGGCAGCTTTCAAAAGGCCCAAACTCTTAGGAGCGCCGGGCGCAGCCCACTAAAATCTAGGTCAAGTGACCTAGATAGGGGCGCATTTTCCAACGACCCTATAAATAGGGAGATATTTCCCCACTTTGGGGGACACATTTTTGAATCATTAATTACACCCTTATTCTCTTACAACAAAGAAAGACCTGAGCTTGGAATCCGAGCAGATACCCACCTAAATTTACGTTCTCTCTATTCCGTTTCAAGTTACTAACTTGTGCGTCGGAGGCGGAGCACCACCTAACCGGTGTCTCCGTTTGTTTTGCAGGTACAGCTCACTGCGGATCAGTCTTCGTGTTGTAACTCTCCCAAGGGACAAAAACACCCAAAACAAGAGTTTTGACCAAAAATGAGCTTATTTGACCAAGTTAGAGGTTTGACTACATAAATTATCGAATTTGGTTGTTTGGTAAAAGAGCTTTTTAAATGAGCTCATTGAGGCAAATAAGCTAATTTGTAAAAAGCTAAAAAAAAAAAGAGCTTTTTATATTAGCTTATTGAGTAATGGATGTCAAAAGACAATTTTATCCTAAAAGTTACTCTAATTCACATTCTTGCCCTCCCAATTTCTTACCCTAGTCAAGTTATAAAAAAAATATCAATGTCCTAAATTGTCATTTCATATATATGTTCAACTACAAATATTAAGCTAATTTTACCAAACAACTCTACATAAAATCCTCTTATAAATTAAATCAGCTAGTCAAAACAGCTAATGCAACCAGCCAGTCAAAACAGCTAATGCAACCAGCTTTTACCAATCAACTAACCGCTAATTATCAAACAGGCTACGTGAAATGATCAGTACGCTAATTGTGGGGTAGGTAGTTCATATAAGATTTTTAATTACATGGGGGGTATTAGTGTCATTTCACTATAAGAATTGAATAAGCTAATTGAAAAAAGTCATAGAAGGAGCTTTTTGGAAAAGAGCTTATTTAGTGGAATAAGCTTTTAAAATAAGCTTCCTACCAAAGACCTTGAATTAGCTTATTTAATAGTCTATAAGCTAATGTTAGACAAATAAGCCAATTTTGCTCAAATAACCTTTTTAATGACGAAAAATAAGGTTAAGGAGATTCAAACACCCAACTTCTTATAACAAGGATGATTATTTAACCGTCTAAGCCAATTACCAACCACATTATTAATATGTATTAAAAATTATATAAATTAAAGCACAAGGTCCATTTTTTTTTTTTTTTTTAAAAAAAAAAAAAAAAAAAAAACTACATCGATATGATACTATATAACTATTAGTCTATTAGCTCATATGTCATAGGGACGAAAGACCCGACAAATTCATCTATATAAGTATAATACATGAAAACTATAATACAATAATATATTATGTATGACACGGGGCATCGCCCGGGCTAAACACTAGTTTATTTATCAAAAAGAGAGTTGCATGATATCGACATGATACTATAAAAGGTTTATACAAATCATAATATGAAGCGTAACAACAATAAATGGATAGGTTGGGAAAATGAAAAGTATTTTTTTTAAAATTAAATATATTTTTTTTTAAATGAAGTGAAAAAAATAAATAGAACATTATTACAATATTAGGGTAACCATATATAAGATCAAAGCGTTTTGTTTTACAAAATGACTTTATCAATTATATGTTCTTTTATATGTAGAGCTGTCGGTGACTCTGAGTACAATAATGTGTTAATGAAAATCAAGAATGCATTTCAGGGGCAACAAGTGCACAACCATTTGTTGAGTTAATTTGAGATGAATTGGCATAACAAATTGTACATCTGTGTACTGGGGGTGAGCAAAAAAATCAAGGTACCCTGATTCCGGAATCTGAATCGGATCAGGTTCTCAATTTTTTGGAACCGGAATTTGTAGGGTATCCTGTACTTGATAAAAGTATCACTTAATTTCAAATTACTTCCTATGTTCTTTTTTACTTGACTTGTATCTTTTATCACGCTTGCCAATGCAAAATTTAGCGATCAATAACTTTAATTCTTCATAAGTAAAAATTATAAAAGTTGTATGTTACGATAGTACTTATTGAGACGAATTAAAAAAGATATCATATGAATATATTTTTCCTTACATATCATTCACAAAAGACGGTCAAAGGAGAGGTGATGAATAGTGTAAAAATCAAAGCAAGTCAAGTAAAAAAGAACGGAGGAAGTATACACTAATTCTTGCTCAATTTTTAAATAATAAATATCAAAATTACAATTATAAAAATATACGAAGTATATATTAAATTTGTTAGACAACTACTATTAGTTTGTCTTATTTGCAAGTTGCAAACATTATAAATTAGTGACCAACCAGTTTTTTTATTAAAAATTATATTATAAAACAGGGTACCCTGAATCAGAACTGGAACCTGTAGGTTCCGGTTCCCAATTTGCAGGAACCTGTTCAATAGGTTCCGGTTCCCATTTTGAGGAACCTGTTGCAACAGGCTCCGGTTCCTAGAATATTTACAAGGTACCCTGTTATGCTCACCCCTACTTTGTACCACAAGAACACAAATGTATATACAAAGTACATGTAAAAAGTAAATCCCATTTTCTCAAAATACTATGTATATATCCTTGTGTTGAATGTGTTCTTTAGGTGCATATTAAACATCATGCACATGTATTCATGATTTAGTTTGGGTTTTTTTTTTTTTTTTTCATCTTGTTCTCATCCAATCTAATATTGATAAAGATATCATATTGACAAGTATTTTTCATCCAATTATTATATTTTCTCCAGTACACCATGTAAATATGGAGTATTTCTTTTTTCATATCCTTGTTTAACACCATTTTTTTTTTTCTACACAAATCTACTTGGATCAACCTCCAGGTAGAGTTGCAAAGGACACTTTTCGTAACCTATACTTAGCATTTAAAAAAAAAAAAAACTACGTAAAGTGCAAAACTGCAAATCTAGAATGAATTGGAAATTCAATACAATAAGTTCAACATTTTTTTTTATGGAGACTATAAAACCACAAAATACCATGTCAAATATAAACAATAAAAATGTCTTATAAATTATCTCAAGTGTTACAAAAAAAAAAAGAACGAAATATTCACCATGACAAATTGAATGGCCAAACATGTCAATAAAATAAGAAATTACATTGTTGAAGTTTCTGTGACTAAGGGAAAATTTTCTGACTCATTTGGGAGCTAAACATGATTAGATATGCCCGAAGGCCAGTAAAATCCATACAAGAAAGCTGTTGAAGTTAGGAGCTAAAATGATATCAAAATCCTTTTTTTCAGATTATGCTTCAGCAGTTTCTTCTGCAGGAATTGTCTCAGTTTCTACTGCGGCTTTAGCTTCGGCTACTGGCTCAGTTGGTTCATCCTCTCTTGCTTCGGATAAAGATGATGCATTCTTTTTAGCAGCAGCCTTTACATGACTATAGGTTCCTTTCTCCATGAACAACTGTTGGAAATGGTGCCTGCAGTAGAGGATTCCGTCGAGAGCAGCATAGGATGAGTGTGTAAGAGAACACCCTCCAATAGCACACCTGAAGCATGTCTTGTGGTAGGATTCTCCCTCCATTGTTATCTGTGAACGTAAAAGAAAATGAAGATGAATGTCGGGTAACCTACAAGTAAGGGCTACAACAGCTACAAGAATTGATCTACTTTCATCTTCCTTATGGAGATCATTCAATTACATAGACTACTTCCATTTAGATCTTTTCTTTATTTTGTTGGGAGGGGGATAATAAATCCGGAGAAAATACCAGTTAATCAATTTGATAAACAAAAATTGTTTATCAAATAGCAAAATTGTAAATCATGGTTGAGTAGCAACTAGTGCTATGAATGTGTGGAGGGAAAAAGCTCAAATTCACCTTCCTAAAATCATGGTTGAATTCTTCAACGATAAACAAACAAAACCTATAACATCAAACAACAAGATTGGATTTAGGGATTGAACATAGAAAAACTGACCTTTTCCAACGGATAGACAGTTTTATTACAAGCAGGACACTTTTCTTGGGTTCCAGAGAAGAAAGAAGAGAGTTTGTTAGGGGTCCTGCCCTGCTCAAAGAAAATCAGAACAATGGAATTAAAATATGAGAAATCAACAGAGAAAAATGGGATTAAAATTTCTGTAAAAATTTGGAAAAGGGATAAAATGGGACAAGGTATGAAGCAAGGAAAATCATTCACAGATTATATAAAATTATATGATGGACATTTACCTGTTCATATTGCCGGTCTGTCTTGGGCCCTGAGGAGAAAATATATCAGGAAAATTGTAAGAAAAATATACAGTATGAAAATGAAGAGATTTATGAATATCTGAGGCAAAAATCAATTCTTTACAGGGTAACATTTACCTGCTTGAAAGTTTTTACGGAAATCTCCGGATTCTTTGAATAGTTGTTCAAAGTGAGTTTTGCAGTAGAGGACTCCATCCATCGAAGAGTAGTTGCTCATCTGTCAAATGTAACAAAGTTATTCAGCAATTAAATTATTTGTACATTTCTATCTTACATCATGTCTGATTGTCTTCATCATTATTTATGATATGAAAACAGTTAATATGAACGTCACGGAAACGATAAAAAGGCAAAGATAGAGGAAATCAGGAGATCGATAATCAAATGAAATCTGGGATCATATAGAAGGGGCAAAAATGTATCCTTGTCACAAAAAAAAAAGTATCTTCCTTCAGAAATTCTACAATAGGTTCAAACATTGTTCAAATGTTGACAGAAATCAATAATATGATATTGTAGCGGAAAAGAGACGTACCACGAGTGTGCCATTGCAGTGGCTGCATCTGAAGCAGGACTTATGAAAAGTTGCCCCATCAGCTGATAACAAATCCACAAAATAGACAGTTTTGTCACAAGCCTTGCATTTGTCAAGAGTTCCAGTAAATGCCATATTTTCAACTCTTTCGCATAAAATAATTTCTACGAAATTGTATTTATTATCGAATATCAAGGCTATGATCAGCAACAAATCATTAGTTAACTTCTTGAATCCCCAACCGCACAGAAAGAAAGATATATATCAAAGAGAGGGATTTGTCAAAGCATCTCTATGCAGCAAATCCTAAGCCACAGACTCAAATTGGACTATTGATCAGTTTGAACAAAGTCTCTAATTTGTCTGATCAAAAACTAATTTATACGACTTATTTGCTAAGTTTATTAGCTCCCAAAGAAATCATTGTTAGAAAAAAGACATCCAAAAATTATGAGGTGAGAATTGCAGGCTAGGCACTAAATGTGGAAGAGAGAATGAAGGGTGGTCTGACTTTTTCCAAAGGATGCAATATCAGAAAAGTTGACATCTGTTTTGTTATGGTTGTGTTTGACAGTTTTTTCTGGTTGACTAGTTTTAGAAGGTGAAGTTAATTTAGCCCTTTATTTTTATAGATTCTCAAAATATATAAAATATAGATTTAATATATATCATACAATAATTCTTTAACAGAAGACAAGATCTTAAAAAATAATAGCCCACATTATATGTAAAATAATAAACAAAAAGGTTCATTTGGATCAATTATATAATTGAAATGTGCATTACTTGCATACCATGAGGAGCTGAGAAGAGATACGACCCTGCCCCCTATAGGTCCAACCTAAACAAATAGAAAAAATAATATAAAAAATTAACAAAATATATTGGTAAGTAAGCTTTATAAAATATTGTCAGGATATTAACAGGCAATACATTTGAATGAATCCCCAAGCTCAAAGAAAGTCAGAAAAAGAAAAGAGATCACAGATCAGCTAGACATGATAGATAAAGACATTACCTCATTAGCAGTGTCATCACTTCAAGCACAAATATGATAAAAATGTTATTCATAACCTTCAGAGTTCAGTCAGTCAAATCAGAAATAAACGAGAAAATACAAAAACTCTGAAACGTAAAAACCAACATTGTATTTGTTTTAAATCAAAAAAAAAAAAAACCGGTATTATTTCCATATGATTGAGCAAATATTGGATACAGTTTGCAAGTTATCAATCCTTGCATTATTCAGCCTATAATCTTAATGTGATTTCTGAAATTCGATACAATTTGTTACTGAATGGTAGTTATGGCAACATGACTTGCTGGGACAGTATGATATCTGATATGGTTTTCCCATGACGATCAATTCTCCTAGAACAATTGACACCACTATCAAGAATATTGCGAACCACAACATTCAACGAATGAATGCCCTTGACCTCATAAATCTCAACTTTAACATTTTCTTTGACCCATTTATCTCTCTTTGAAATGGCATCTGGGTGCGGAAATGGAGAAGGGTTCAATAGAGTAGACAACACTTTCTTCACCCATTCAGGACTTATTATCACCTGCAACCTACTGATATCTTGAAAGAAATGGGGGATAATGGAAAAGTTCATGTCATTGCCTTTATCTCCGACCCTGACATGTGCAACTTCATACAGAAGAACTTTCTTGCCTGATGGTGCAGGAAAACATGGATAGTTACTTGATAATATTTCAAGGTTCTGATCAGACAAATCAATAAGGCCATCAGGTAATGGAACTGACTTGTCTGAAATGGAAGTTGGCACTTTTAGTCTCTTCGTCTTGTGTTCATGGCCATGTATATTAGCCATGTTTGTACTCTTAGCCCTAATATGCCAGAAAATAGACTCACGTCCAACCTACAAAGATTTACTCATGTGATTCGTGTCACTTGATCACTTCATAGCCAAGCATACAACTTCTGAGCTGACTGAAAATACAGGTCAATCCAGAGCAGAAATTAACATTTGAGGCAGCTAGAAAGGGATACATACCAGTTGTTTTACCAAGAGTACTTCTTTCTTGTGCCCAGTACTGCAATTGAGTAGAAAGGAAGAAGATGAATAACACAAACATCAATTAAGGAATTGTGATATACATGGAAGCAACTGAAAACTGCAAGTGAGGAAATTGAGTTTTGTAGACTAATTTCATTATATTTAGATGGTTCCATATGTTCCATTTTATAATTAAGAAATAGAGTATATACCAAGGGGGTGATTTACCTTACACCACCTCCACCAGCAGGCCCATTTGTATATAAAGCAGTGAATTCTCTGACAAATTTGATTGCATGCTCCTCAACCTCAAAAAGTCCATCCATGCGTAGCCTTATGTCTCGGCACCCAGCCGCTATTGATGTAATACTTTCATTGCAGACTGCTTTCAGGCTATCAAATCCAATAATGTAAGAAATTATACGGCTATTAATGCCTGGATATGATTCTTCCATCCAAGATCTAACCTAAACACATGAAATATAGAAACCCACAAAGCCTGATGGTCAAAAATGATAAACTTGCAGCAGTACTTCAGTCATGTCTCAGATTGTACTACTACATTGTACTGCAAGTACAATTGAAAATTCAAAAAGAATCAGAGAGCAGCATATTTACCAGATACTCAGCTGCTCTTGCACGTTTAACACATTCATAACCTCCGTAAGATATCTCTCCCCAGCCTTTCCATCCAGACTCCTAAACCAGATAGAGAACAATTGGATAAAGATTCTAAAATATATAAATAAATAGATAAAATGAAAACCTACTACATAATGCACAGTCCAGAACATAACAAGACAAAAAGGCAGACACGTATTATGTCAATTGCAAAAGGATTAACTGATTAAATGACTTATTATATATGTGCAATGACGTTTTTTTACTCAACTCTAGATCAGAAAGATAAGAATCACCCATACCTTTGGTACTAGTTGCAGAAGTTTCTCAGGAGTTGATGTAGCTGAGGGTTTTGCTCCAGTGCAGAGAATCTTGCTGCTGGATAAGGGATCAAACGTAACATCACGAATATCTAAGACCTGCGTCAGAAGAAGAAAAATATTCTGTAATCAACAACTCCCACCTATCAACACATTATCAAATAGAATAGCCATGTTACCACATCAGGAGTGACATAAGCACTTGGATCTGCAATCTCATAGAGAAGCTGCTGAGCACAAGTACTAAAGTTCAGAGCACCACCACTGCCATCAGCCTTGGCCACACATACTTCTCCCAGGTAATTGACTTCAGCAAATGGAAGTGATAAATCCAGAAGACACTGAAAAGATATATCTCTGTGTTTGTCTCCTACATGAGGTAAATAAAGATTCCAAGTTCAGAAAAATGATAGAATGTCAAAGCATAGAAGCTGTCAAAAGAAAAACTAACCTGGATGCATAAAATAACCACCAGTCAGCTGACCACCACACTCTAATAGGTGGCCTGCTAAAGCTCCTTGTGCTAGTTGCTCCAGATCATCCCAATTCCAGCCCAGCTCATAAACCTGTTAATCAAAGTACAGACTATTGACAATCTGAATGATATTACCAGCGACATAAAAAAATCAAAATAAAAGTAAAATGCAAGCAAAAATATTTTTTCAGCTAAATTAACATTTGTAAGGGAAAAACTGCATAGTAGCAACTAGTAAGTACAAGTCCAACAATATATTCACGATCCTTGTTCCTTTTATGGTCAAACATAAGCAGCCAACTCATAAAAAATCAAGTGAAAAAGATGCTAGTTCTTCAACACCAAATGTATACACAATAAGTCCTACTGCCAGGGAATAAGTTTTTCAGCTTTTTCCTCAATAACTCAGCCCGCTCCCACCCACTCTCTTTGAAAGTGATGATAGAAATGCAGAATTGTAGTTTAATACACAATCTACCTAAATAATATTAATCTCCCAAACTGTAAGGCGCATTAACAGAAATATGTTGCTGTCAATTGCATGCAAGAGGCACAGCAGAGAAAATTCTCACCATTGGACCTAAGAATAGGACAGCATCTGCTACACGACTAGTAATGATGACATTTGGCTTGTATAACTCAAGACACCTGACAATTGGTGCCGCACCTAGATATGTGCTAATACCCTTCAATGACAAGGAATATAGATTAAGCCAATATGTAACAAAGAGACAACTTTTTTCCAATCAAAATGAAAAATACCAACTCTACAATACTACTGCAAGGCTGTCAGTTTCTTACACCATCCATGACAAAAGACATATTATGTGAGGATGCTGACCCTGAATTTTAGAGAAAGAAAACACAATAGAAGGGACTTAGTAAGTTATAATGATATCAAATTTACCTTTCACCAGTTACTTAAGTACAAAAAAAAAAAAAAAAAAAAAAAAAATAAAAAAAAATAAAATAAAAAAAAAAAAAAATCCCTAACATTCAAACAAGTATACCTGGATCTTTGAAGGCAACTTCATGTGCAACAACAACTGTTATACTAAGCCCCAGGCTGTTTGCAATTTCAAGGACCTTTATCTGAGCACCAATTGGATCCACTTTTGTATAGAAGGAATCAGACAAAATGAATGGAAAAATACTTAGATTGTATCCGTGATCTCAACTACACTACACAAACCAAACAAAAAAAGCTCTCACTTGCACCCATATTTGTAATTATGCATGTTCCCCTTTCCACAGCCAGAGGTAAAAGCAAGTGCATCCACTCCGAAACTGCATGTACGTAAAAGACAGAATTAATCAAGTAGAAACTAATCCATACACAAAAAACTGATTTTGGTAGCACACTCTACTTCCTTCTCAAATAAGAGAGGGAGGTCAAAGAAAACCAAGACTTATGAAGCAGATTGACAAATCTAATAAAAGTCAATGGCAAGTAGCCAAGAAATATAGCAAACATACTGCGTGGGTCATAACCATCTCCCCCAGATATCATCTCCTTGTATCGGTCAGCTAGAGTGCGCTCAGCAAGACACTCAAGTACAATATAGTTAAGCTCCTTCACACTTTGAAGCAACTTAAAAGCTGTCATTGGCCTGTCACCACTAAAGCCAGCTCCACAACCAACATAAACTTTATCCCGTCTCCTTTTAGGATTGACCCTCTGAAGCAAAACAAGCATATAATAGTTCAATATATGATACAAAATTATGCTGACACAATAAGAATATAGATGTATAACTAACCAATTTGATCAAACAATCATCATATACATCACCACTGTGTTCCTCATAGTTGTCCATCATGCCTGTATTAGATGTCACTGCAAGCACTCAGCAAGAGACTGGCAAATAATTAGTATACACAATATAATGACCAATAGAATGACAAAAGCAAGACCCGGGGTAGGACTTGTTTTTCACCTAAATTAAATATTCCTTCAGCACAGATGGCAAAAATGGATTCAGTACAGTTCCAATGCTCCATTCAACAGAAATTAGATGAAAAACAACAAACAAATAAGCATAATTCAACTCAGTTAAGCACAAAAAAAGATCAATTTTAATCAATTCAACATAGATAAATTGAACAGAACACAGCCTGAAATCCTAAATGTATGTCTGTTTGGGCCCATATAAATCGACCCTCACCCACTTCTATATACTTCTCTAGAGAATCAGAATACTTTTCTTCGCCGTCACCAATTAAACACCCTAAATCCCCCTCTTGAACAAATTACATAACTTAAAACACATAATCAATTTCTAACAACTTAAAACATTCATAAAATTTATTGCTACTATTTCTCCAAAGCATCTACATAGTCCTGTCACACCCCAAGCACAACAACAACAGCAACAAGGATACAACCCGATATAAAATGTATGCAGCCTTACCCCTAAAATCTTAGACAATAACAAAAGGGTGTCTATATAATTCGACAAATTGAGCACCATATAAGCAGCAAACACTCAATCACACAATTCCACTTAACAGTAAACATTCATTCGTTTGCAGTTCTACATAAATAAAATCCAACACCCCTTTACTCTCATTAAAGTAAATTTTCATAAGAAATACTAAATATCATACCCCAAATGACCCAGAAATCGGAGTATCTTTCTTTTGCACAAATTGGGCATTGAACGGACCCAAATCATAAACTTTAAAGGGTTTTCAGAGATACCAAAAAAAATTGAGCTTTTTTTTTCCAATCAAACATATGAAATGAGGTATGATAATTCTGCATAATCAAATTATGAGTAAAATATGAAATGGGGTACGATAACATTGCTGACATACTTGAATAATGAAGCGTTTGTGATTAATCAGAGAGATTTTCAACTTACCTCTTCTTCAGCGTTGAATGTTTTTTCTCTCTCTTCAAAATTTTGATTGTGACTTAATTTATAGTCGGAAGTACTACATAAACTTTTATTTATTTAATTAAAGAACTGTAGGAACAAAATAATTTAGTGGTTATCCATAATAAATGAAGAATATTACTTGTATTTGGATTAAAATAATATTAGAGGACTATTGAAGAAGACAAATTAACTTAATTAATGTCTTAATGATCTTATCCATTTCATATTGTACTATAATTTTGAATTTGTAAGTTTTGTATTTTTGCAATAGTGGATTAGTTGTTGTTTTTTTTATTTTTTTTTTATTTTTGGATGTTTTCACAATAGTGGATTAGTGATAGAGTGATAATGTCCGTAAATGTATTACGGAGTAATAAATTATCATGTACAGTTTTTATTTTTATTTTTTTTAATAAGGAAAAATAAATTGTTACACAATCGGGTCATTAAGATGATCAAATTCACGTACATTAATATTCCGTGCGACAAAAATATTTGACTTTTTTTTTAATTGATTTAATCTTTTGGAAGAAAAAAAAAGTAGTGTAGAATGTCCGTTAAAAAAAAAAGTACTGTAGAATGTATATAAGCATGCCATTAATACAATGAACTACGGAGTATATAGTTGGATACTAATGAGATTAGTTGTCATAGACTCGTAGTTGGCAATGTGTGAGGTTGAGGAATAACTTTGATCACCAAAGCTAATGAACCATTGTTTTTGCTATTATTTGTTTTTTGTTTATCTCTTTCCACAAAATTAGCCTTTGACCTATGCTTGATTGCTTGGTCATTTTTAAAGAACTAAGGGTCTGTTCTCATTGATTGCATTAAGCTGAATGAACTGAACTATTAAAGCTGAAATGAACTTATTAGAAGTGAGCTGAACTGAACTGAAAATAATGTGATGAGAACAAAGCCAAATAATTTCTTTGGGAGGTAAAATCAAATTAACTACTTGTATGTATATAGTATTTATATTTGATAAATAAAGTGATGTAATAGACTGTAATAAAATTGAAATTGAATCCTAAATCTTGGATAACAATCTCTTATAGGTAATTTTTTTGACTTTTACTTCCACTAAAAGGCACCACTTTGATTTTTACCTCTTATTTATTTTTTTGGGTAAGAAAAAGGAGGCTCAAGCTCAATGGAAAGGAGAGGGGAAAACCCTCAAATGAGTTACTTCCCCTAATTGGTCTTGTATGGACCCGGTCTACAATAAATTATTGTATACCCAAAATTTGACACTTTCAAATAATATAATCACATTCTGGATGATATAATCACTTTTTTAGATGATATAATTATTTTTTGTGAGTCATATTTTGATCTCATATTAAACCATTTAATGAGATTATATAATTATCTTTAGGATGATAAAATTTAAAAATCATCTTTTAAATAATGTAATTTACTATTTGATACTTTTTATAATGATAAATTCACTTTTTGAGTGATACATTTACATAACAGTTTCAAGATGATATAATCACTTTTGTAATAATATAATCACATTTCGTATGATGTAATCACATTCGTATGGTATACTAGAAGGTTGGGTCTACAATAAGTTGTTGTAGACTGGGTCTATTCTAGTCTAGTCCTTTTATTTTTGCCCCATTGCCATTTTTTGGGTCAAACTTTGAAAACTCTAACCATAAATTACCGTTAATTTATAAAAGATAATACAGTCATGAGTGGTCTTATTAGATTCATCTCATTGTATATTTTATTAATATCACGTTTTTATAGTTTTTACGTGTATGAAAATAAAGTTATAGACGTTTTAAGATACGTCTTGGAGACCGTGCATAGTCAATTGGGGCAAAAAAATAAGGACAAAAGGAGTATATGATTTTTGATCCCTATAAGGCCCTGTTTGATTCACCTTAATTTTGCTGAATGAAATTATTTTTACTGAACTGAACTTATTTTTACTGAACTGAACTTAATTTTACTGAACTAAAATTATTTTTATTGAACTTAAATTATTTTTACCGAACTGAAATTATTTTTTACTGATTTTCTATTATAATTTTTCTTTAAGAAAACTGAATTTTACTAAACTGAACTTATTTTTAATGAACTGAAATTATTTTTACTGAATTGAAATTAATTTTATTAAACTGAAGTTATTTTTACTGAACTGAAATTATTTTTACTTAATATTATTTTTTTTTTAAGGTGAAGAGAACAAGGCCTAAGAAAACATGAGGTACTGAGTAACAACGATGCCACTGCTCCATAACCTTAACCTCCTTAAATTATTACTAATTGACATCGGCTTTTAGTCAAGTTCGAAAGCACGAAGCAAATACAAATCAGGTGACCAATCACCAAAAACACCCGAAGCAGCTTCAGAAAGAGAGAGAGAGACAGGGTGCTCTTCCTTCCCGCGACACAGCCTGTGAAAAAGAGAGAGAAGAAGAAGAAGAAGATAACAATGGTGGCTGCGTCCTCGTCAGTGGTGGCCGTATACCCACTATCAAGCTACACCTTTGGCACCAAAGAACCCAAGCTTGAAAAAGATACCTCTGTTGCCGATCGTCTTGCTCGTATGAAAGTCAAGTAATTTTATTTCCTTCCATTGATTTTGATTATATCATCAATTCTTTAAATTCCGGTTTTAATTTACTATAAAGGGAAATACTTTCGCTATTTTTCTGATCTGGGTGATTTTGGGTTCTCTGTTTCAAATTTATTTGCTTGATTGTGATGCTGCTAATTTGTTTGATTGAATTTTGTGCGATTTATGTTAGACCTGTTAATACCCAGTTAGAAATTTTGTGTTTTGGGAAAATTTGTGAGGAGTTACTGTTAGTTGTGTTATTTGGTGCTTAATTAGGGCAAACCTTGTTTTAGGGTTTTACGATGAACAGTGTTCTTCTTACGAGGTTTCCATAACTTATGATTTTTAGAGCTTATTGTACCGCTCGGCGGGTCTGATAGGTGGTATGAATTCTGTATTATGTTTTGGGATCATTTAATTTTTGAAATTATGGTAGATTGGTAGGTAGTAAGATGACTTACATGAGGCAAGTGAAACGCAGGTAATTGGACTAGTATGCTACCTTAGGTTAAGTTGTTGGGAATTTGACTTGTAAATTTGCACTAATTGAAGCCAATTTCTCATGAATTGGACTCCTAGATAAGGAAGTAGCAATAATTATTGAGTTTTTCTTCAGAGTCTTGCCTGCATTAACCAGATGGACTTTCCCTAAAAAACAATATAGATACCAGCACACTTCAACCTTTTGCTTTCTGCATCCACTTTTTCAAAGAATGTTTGAGTTTCTGCATCAAAACTTTTGCAATTGTCAGTGATCTTAGGGATGTGTCAAGTTGTCTACTACTTGTGGATCTGAATCAAACATCATTAGAACCGAAATGGTAATTATTTTACCTGTAATCACTCATCAGTATATAAAGTTTGTATGATCAATGATTATAATTATAATTTATAAACCATTTGGTTAGCAGTTATCGCCATGACAAAAGATATGGGTACCAAGTGAGTGTAAATTTCTGGGATAGAAAGAGTAGAGGTGTAGTTTGTTTGACCAATAGTTTACATTTGCTAAAATCTTGAAAGAAATCTATGAACTTTACATTGAGCTGTGATTGATATGTGTCATTCATTTAATGCTGGGAATTACATTCTGTAATAGTGTAGCACCGCCACAGGACAGGGAGCTGGTCTTTTCACATGTTGTACCATTGTTCACTAACTTCTCCTGGTTCCTGAATTATGAACTAATAAAAGAGGTTTGTAAAGTGCAGTCATGCCGAAGCTTTTAATCATAATTTAGCCCTTACAGTTGTATTGAAAGTAGATGATGGGATTGCTTATGGTATATCCATATATGGTATGGATGAAAATCAACTGTAGTCATATGTGCTTGTTGATTGATCTTACCTCCTTACAGTTGTTGTATGCGAGGGTTTTTGCTTCCCTACCGATTGTATATTTTTGGTAGTGATGGAAACCCTTAAGGTGGCTTTATATTTTGCACTATTGATTGCCTTTTTGATAATAATATCTTCTTATGTTGTTGAATAATCTAATATGTTTGTGTGGTTATTATTTCAATTATCTTAATGTTTGATACAATTGATACCAATATGACCCACTGTATTTTTTCAATTATAGTTACTTTAAAGAAGGCATGAGGACCAGTGTGGAAGGCATTCTACTCGTAAGTTACTCTCAGCATGCTTCTGATGTTATTCATGTGCTTCCAATTGGATATGAAAGTCATACATTTTGTTTCTTTTTGTTGAAAGCTTTTTTTCTTCCTATCTTATTCTTGTGTGTTTCCTTAAAATTAAATGTGTTTGGATCAGAGTTTCCTATTATCAGCATTGTAAATACTTTTTCTATATTTCAGTGATCCTGAATGATATCTGTCTATCTATCATGTATTGTGAACAATCATGTGATTTTTTTTTAATTTTTAATTATTCGTCCCGCACCCCTGAGCAAACTATTTGGTACTGGTGTTTTCTTTCGATCCTTGATATTCGATTTTGATACATAGTTTGCTAGCTATTATAACATGTTGCACCACTTGCATGCTTCTCTCATGTGGGGACTATGTAGAATTTTGTATTTTTGTTTGTTCAATTAGTATAGTTATTATGATGGAAACAGTTTGCTGGAACAAGGCTGGTACTTTCTACGTGTATATTTATTATTGAGGCTTAATAGTGGGATTTTCTTTAGATTTGTTAAAGAGATTTACTCATTTTTTAAGCCATGGCGATCATTTGACGAAAAGATATGGTGTGCTGAGAGAGCTCAGAGGAAGCTGTATGTTAATTGTGGATACAAGAAGTAGGTTTTCTTATAGTGGGTGGATTGTGGAAGGATAGGTGAGTCATGATCTTGGTTGGCTCATTATCAAGACATGGTTTTGGTAATATAGCAGTATGGGATGATTTGTTGAAGGACACACGAGGATGGCTTTGCTGGAAAAGACTATTGTCTAGGCATTTTTATGGACAATAGCACTAAGTTGAGGATTTTATTGAAGCCTAGTTCTCTGATTAGATTATTTGCTCTTCAAAGCTAGCACTGTTTTTAAGAGGCCCAGAATTTATTATCTGTGAGGGTATTGAATCTTCTTTAAATATTTGAGCTGGTTCTTGTATCCTATGGCAAGCTCTAGTATGGGTAATTGGTGAATATCCAAACTTTACATGATTATGAAAGTCTGATACCAAGCCATAATATTTTGGAATCTAGAATGTTTTGGTACTTGAATATTGAATGGGTATAGGTTTGCAAATTCCTACTTGGTTTTGCTAAACTACTCCACATCGACGTATCCAATTGCACATTTTAGAACGTGACTCATTAGTTGGGTGTTGATGGAGTTGGTAGCTCTGTGCCTAGCATTACTCAACTATCTAGTATTGCATAACAAAGGTAGCTAGTGGCCAAAGGCTGATCTTTCCACATAAATCAAAGATTTGTTAATTTCTGATGTCTGTTGGAAAAAGGAAGGGAGTGTAGGGATTGCTTGTTCATGTATTCAAAGAGGGAGAGGGCATTTTTGTCAGCTGGTAATTAAGATAGAAAGATTGGAAAAAGAAAACTTGTATGAGTAAATGAGAGCTGAACAGAGGGAAAAGTGCACTGATTTCAGGATCTTGTTACCCCCTTTTATGTTGTTTTCTATCATTTACCAATGGTGTATCATAAAGTATGGCATGTGAATCTTGGAATTGATTGAATCCTTGACCTCATATGGTAGGTCGGCATGTGCAACTAATCCTCAATGCTCTAAGAATCGTTTTTTTTTTTAAGTTCTCTTGACTGTTTTGGGGTGTTAATATCTGTAGTATGTTTCATCAGAGCTTTTACTTATAGTGCAAGCATGATTTTGGAGTAATATTTCTATACACTTAAATTTCAGTATCTGCTTTGTCTTAAATAAGTAATTTGGTGGTTTTTCACCAGGTCCAAGAGCATAATCATCCGCACATTCTTCTATTACAAATCGGAAACACTTTCTGCAAACTTCCTGGTGGTCGTTTGAAGCCTGGTGAAAATGGTATGGGTTAAGATATCATCATCTCAGTGCTTTCACCATCCCAGCTCTATCACATTCTCCTTACCTTACTTTTATTCATTTATTGTGAACAGAAATTGATGGTTTAAAGAGAAAACTTTCCAGCAAACTCGGTGCTAACTCGACTGCTCATCAACCTAATTGGCAGGTATGATTCTTTGGTGTCCTTTCTGCTTTATTAATTCTGATTATCTGTCTTGAACACCCTTCTGCTCTTTCCTTTTTGCTGTTATTCTGGCTCCTCATGAAGTGTTTATTGGAAGCAAAATTCTAGTAGAGACATATTCCTAAAGGGTATTAAGGTCTAAATTGTGCTATTTTGCAGATTGGTGAGTGTGTTGCTAACTGGTGGAGGCCAAATTTTGAAACAGTGATGTATCCCTACTGCCCTCCTCACATCACAAAACCTAAGGTGAAGGATTTATTTGAAGGTGCTCTTTTCTTTTCATGATGTCTCTTGAACTAGGCTGACCTTGAAAGATTTTGTAACAGGAATGTAAAAAGCTTTTCATGGTCCACTTGCCAGAGCGAGAATACTTTGCTGTACCAAAAAATCTCAAGTTGTTGGCCGTGCCCCTCTTTGAGCTTTATGACAATGTTCAGGTTAGTAGCGATTCCAATCAATGAATCGTTCATTTGCCTTTTTGGTCTTTCAAATGGCAATTTTTTTTACATAAGCATAAATCATGCCTAAAGTGACATGGAATTTTTAAGTTTCTATACATTCATAAGCAGTGCATGCTTGTATGTTTTTGGCATGCTATGTCTTGGATCAGTTGTTTACTAGAAAAGTAATCTGAGTTGTTCGGTGTTGCAGAGATATGGACCAGTGATCTCCACCATCCCTCAGCAATTGTCAAGATTTCAATTCAACATGATCTCTCCATAATATTCTAATCAGTTTGGACGGGGTAGGGCCAGAAGCAGTGGGTGTTGCATTAGTGGTGGCTGTCTTGTTTTGAGATAGCAGCAGATCCACCCTTCATGGAAGCCCAGCTTTGCTGACTCTCCGCCTTCTCAGTTTCTAATATAATATCTTATCATCATCTTAACATTAACTTATCGCTAGGAGATTGAAGGTGACATTGTTTCACAGGGTTTGTACTGATATGTGAACCTTCTTGCTTGTATAATGTTTGTTTTAGCCTTTAGAATTGTGCGCCTCTATTTAATCTTTCTACATTATGTTTCTTTTTATTTTGGTGGTTAGAGTTGTAGAGAAGCTTTAGTTAAAGATTAGTGGTTTTGTACTTGTCAGTTGATAGGAACTTAGGTTGGCATTCTTCATACAGTCGTCTGCAAAGTTCAAACTGGCTAAAATGTATGCCCTTTGTTGTTCCACTATTTTTTAGGTGCTCTAAAATTGTATCATTTTTTGGGTCTTAGATTGTATGATTTAGATTTGTGTATACTCGAATATTTATAGATGGAGGCGGATTAGAATTCGGAGTATTAAGCACCTCATAGTATATACTTTAGCTGATGTTTATCAACTTAAGCTTAATTATAATTGAAGAATTGGTTAAGATAAATAATTGAGAATTATGAATGGTCAATTTTGGCCGAGCTTTCGGTATCAAGCTCAACCTTGATAAAGTGGTCACAGGTTGAGCTATGTTTAAGACTAACAACACGCATTAATGCATTATTAATTGTTCAAGGGTGAGTTATTATGAACTTGTTTCGTTAATTAATAACTTAGCACTATTAAAGCTAACTATAATTATTCACATAATGGAATTGGGCCAGATATGGTGGCATTGGAGACTTGGAGTACGTCATGCATGTTTAATAAACTAATTATATTGCGTGTTTAGAAAACGAACTTCATTGATGCAGATGTTGACAACTCCATATGTACGATTGCATGCACAATCTGTTATGGAATGAGCGCAAATTGCTCGTGCGACGCCCGAATCCTCAAGGCTTGATCCAGGCAGTCTTCCCTTATGCACACCAAGCTAATAAATAGAGGAAATAATACGCAGTGATACTAACTTACACCACAAACACATGTATCAGTAAAGCACACAAACATAGGGAGGTTGCTTCATATAGAACTTGTTGTGTAGTGATATCGGAAAAATTATCAGCACATGACAATATGTTCTTAGGTGCATAAAAACTCATCCAGCCTTAAGAAATACTACAAGTGTTTGATAGTTGGGTATAGCTATACAAAAGAGTATAATATAATTTGTTAAGTAAATTAAGCACAATACTTCTACTAATTTTAAAAAAAGAATAAAATAAAAAGAAGTTTTTGCACTGAAATTTTTTGGGATGAAAGTCATGAAACATTAATATTCTTAAGTCTTAACAAACACTAATCATGTATTTCAAACACTAATCAATACCATTAACACGCAAACGAGACGTGATTATGATTGATTAACAAAAATTTAATAACGAGTTAAAAGTCTTAAAACAGTTGCCCGTTGGCAAGTATGCAGACCCCAGTACAGGCCAACAACATGTAAATCGTAAACCATTCTTCAACTGCTCATCTTCTGCTTTAACTCACCCTCTTCTATTTAATCTTCTAAATTTCAAACTTTTTACTACATAAATAACCAACCTTTTTTTTTACTTTAAAAAAAAAAACCGATTTCTCTTGATTTTCAGTTCACTGAATCAATCATTTTATATCACACAATTTGCCACAATTTTTGGTATATCACTCAACTCACGACATTGAGTTTTTTTTACAAATGTGTACATATTTTCAAGTGTTAACTTTTGTCTCCTATGTAACATATTTTGTTCATGTATCATGTCTTGTTATACAAGAGAATTTCACTTTTGATGTGAAACATATACAATCCAAAATGTGCGAATTATTTTCAGACTTATGTCATGTTATATTTTCCGTGGATTGTCTAATGCTCCCCGGTGTATAATATAAAAATTGACTAGTACACTTTTTTTTTTTGCTTAGTTTTAGTAGCAAAATTTGATCTTGTACCCCTCTTCAATGTAGGTCCACAACATTATCAAAATGGCCACCATTTCCCTAGCAGCAGGACATTGTGCTAATATGTCGAAGGCATGTTTTGGCAATGGTAAGAAGGTTCTTCTTGCTAATGATTTTCTTGAAGGTAAAATCATGAACATAAATATGTGTGTATTAAGGCCCTTAGAATGCTCTAACTATAAGAACAGCAGAAAAAAGCTGAACATTATTGCTAAACTTAAGAAAGGGAAGAAGCATGACTACCCATGGCCAGATGACATCGATCCTAATTTATCGAGTGGGCATTTGAGATACCTCTCTCACTTTAAGCCTTTGGAAGATAAACCAAAACTTGTGACACTTTCATTTGAGAAACCATTGGTTGATCTCAAGCAGAAGATCATCGAGGTCAGTGACTTTCTTGGTGCATTACTGAATCTTACATGAGTTTTCCTTGTGCATCAGTCGAAAAATGTTGTTTATCCTTTGAAAAGTGATCATCTCTTACTTGCAGGTTCGTCAAATGGCAGATGAAACTGGTCTAGATTACAGTGATCAAATTAGTGCTTTGGAGCTCAAATATCAACAGGTTTTTTTGGTGCCCTGCATCTTTTGGTTGCTTTGTTTGATGTTAGCAGTAAATATTAGGCATTACTGGACTATACATAGCTGTACTAAGTAGGATTGTAGGAACGTTTCTTTGTTTTCGATCATCTGATGTGCTAATTCATCACTGTTAGGCTATAAAAGATCTGTACACCCATTTGACACCGATACAACGTTTAGACTTGGCTAGACATCCCAACAGGCCAACTGTCCTTGATCATATTCTGAACATCACAGAGAAGGTAATAATTTAGTTGTTATTAATGATTATATTTAATTTCAATTAAGAATATCTAAGGATCATGTTCTTGTCTTTTCATACATCTTTTAGTGGGTGGAACTCCATGGAGATCGTGCAGGCTATGATGATCCAGCTATCGTAACTGGTATAGGGAGCATCGATGGTAGAAGTTATCTGTTCATCGGCCATCAGAAGGGAAGAAACACAAAGGAAAACATTTATCGAAACTTTGCTATGCCAACTCCTCATGGGTATATAATTATGAAGTGACAAACTAACTTAGGGAACTTTTAGTGAAATCTGTTTTATTTTTGACAGTATGAGTGACCTTTTAACAGGTACAGGAAGGCTTTGCGCATGATGAAGTATGCAGACCATCATGGTTTTCCCATTATTACACTTATTGACTCACCAGGAGCTTATGCTGATCTCAAATCTGAGGAACTTGGTCAAGTGAGTAGACAACTACTAGTATGTTTTAATTTTATTTTGACTTAAGATGTGATAATATGAGGATGTGTCTCACTGAATGCAGGGTGAAGCAATAGCTCGAAATGTATGGTCCATGTTTGGACTGCGAGTTCCTATCATCACAATAGTAACTGGTGAAGGTGGTTCTGGAGGAGCTGTGGCTATCGGCTTCTGCAACAAATTTTTTATGCTTGAGAACTCTGTTTGCTATGTTGCTAGGTATTCTTTGAGGTTATGGTCTTTATATGATTTCCCTAATGTTTTTATAAATCGCGTAATACTCATACAATACCTTATCATTGCTGTGTTGACAGTCCTGAAGCATGCTCTGCAATATTATGGAACTCATCCGAAGCAGCCCCAAAGGTATATGAATTTTACTCTTGCAATGTTGTTAAATAAGCTTTCGTAGATACATGCATGAAGCCTTATTAACTGCAACAGAATCGATCTTTTACATGGAAAGGCTGCTGAAAAACTGAGGATAACAGCTCAAGAACACCTCCGGCTAAAAATTGCTGATGCTATCATTCCTGTAAGTGTCTGAATTCACAAATTTCTGCCTGGTATCAGACCACAATCTCTGGCTAAAAACCATTGCTGTAAAACTTCTTTCATTGGCTCTAAATTTAGCCTTAATCTGTACCGGAATTTTCCAGTTCAGCAAATCAGTTGTGTTTAATCTTGCTTTGTTACAGGAGCCGCTTGGAGGAGCACATTCTGATCCTTTATGGACATCTCAGCAGATAAAGACCGCCATTTTACAAGCCATGGAGGTAAGCCTTTATGATGTGTTAACTATGATAATATAATTCACCAACTTCTATCTATCTGCTGATGCTGCATTTATTTCAGGAACTAGGTAGGATGAGTAAAGAAGAGTTGCTTCAACATCGTATGCTCAAGTACCGTCATATTGGTAGTTTTCAAGAATGCATCGCGATTGATCCAAAGAAGAAATGGAAGATGAAGCCTTCAGATATTAATATGGCAGAATCTGCTGATATAGAGACTGAAGTTGAGAACTTCAAGAAGATGATTCTAGAAGCGAAAGGATCAAATGAGCAAACAAACCAAGCTTTGGAAAAGATACAGGAGGATGTTGACAAAGAGATCACAAAGGCCTTCATATCCATGGGCTTACAAGGGGAACTCGAATCACTCAAGTTAGATTTAGCTAACTCCTCAAACCCGCTTTTGAGCCTTACTCTCAGAGATAAAGCAGATAGACTAATGCAGGAATTCAAGCTTAAGTTGTCGAAACCAGGTGAATATATGGGGCTAAAAGAGAAGCTAGCTAAATTTGAAATGCTAAACAGGCTCATAAAGATCAAGAAAAAAGGTGACAGGATAAAAGCGGAGATCAATAAAAAAGTACCAATTAAGGTAAAGGAGAAGTTGTTGCTACTAAAATCTGCAGAAGAGAAATTACTGCAAGGCAATGAAATAGATAAGGAAATAGTAGTAGATGTACAGAATACTAAAAAAGAGCTCGAAAAGGTCTTGAAGTCATCTGACTTAAAGATTGTTGGTACGACAAAGAGAGTTGAAGGAAGTTCGCGTTATGATTTGAACAAGAAGCCTTCAGTGTTGAACAATGATATGATTGCAGAAATCGAAAGGGCTATAGACAAGGCAGGCCTTAGGGAGAAAATAGAAGAACTGAAGGCAGATATTTCAGAAAACTCAAGCTTGGAAAAGGTAACAAGACTACAGGATGAGATAAAGGCGAAAATTGCTGCTGTTATGAAAGCTGAATTTCTGAAAGGGAAAATAGAGAATCTGAAAGATGATCTGGTGTCTCCTACAGAGGTAGTTCTGCTAGGTAAGCTCGGTGCTGAAAATGGAAGAACATAATCAAATTTCGAGTACAGATCTTCAACCAATGAGATTGTATATAAATACATATCAAAGCTTTTCATAGCTAAGATCGAAATGAGCATATTTTTGGACAGTCCAAGGATAATATTGGATTATAGAACAACCAATGTCCAACAATATACTATATTCCTGTAAGATAAAGAGATACTCTCCCCGTTTTATAATAGTTGTTTCGCTTTGGTCAAGTTTTTTCTAGTACATTCAATTTTATAGTGTAATATGTAAATATGTTAAACATGTCTTAATGTATACTTGTATTTCCCAAAATATTAAATTTTTACAATTTATATCAAATATAATTTGATCATTTTACAAAAAAAATTAAAAATAAAATAAAAAGAAGAAGTCAAAGTATGCGTTGACTAATGACTAAAGATATGTGGAAACTTTCTATTTATATAGTGCAAACAGACAGGCAATAGCAAACCCATCACATAAAAAATTGAACTAACGGTTACAAACAGACAAAACTAACTTTCCCGCCTTTTTTTTCTTCTCTCATTTCTAAACAACAATGTTGAAGCTAAAAATAACAACAGCAATGAAGTTCAGACAAATGATAGCAGCAATCACAAACATCTCCAACACTACGCACATCGAATTCTCCGAAAAATTCACCCTCTTTCATACTACCCATAAAACTACCAATGTATTATCATTGCTTCATCTTTCTTCTAAATTTTTTCATCATTATCATATCTCTAGACCCTTCATTGTCAATACTAAACTCGCTCCTATCGACGATTTTCTTGGCGACATTGCTGTCGATGATGACGGATTTTCTATTGTGATCTACTCCGAAGACAAGTCTCCCATCACTAGTCTTGACTTTCAAATTCATAATTCAAGTACTTCTATTGATTCCTCTCTTTCTTGATTTTTTCATTTAAAATTAAATTCATGTTCTTGATGAATTTCTCTTCATTTTAACGTTTTTTTTTCTTTTGATATTATTTGATGGGTTTTTTAAATTTCAGAGAAAATTCATGGAATTTGTATCATTCCTCTGTTTTTGTTAAAAAAAAGTTCTGACAAATTTTCTGAATTTTTGGATACGTAATTAATAAATTATGTTTCTTTATCAAAATTTCTTTGAAAATTAGCACAAAAAATCACCAGTTTAATCAAATTATCTGCTGAAAATTTCAAAGATACTAGTATTTCTTTGATTTATGAGAATTTACTTGTTTAATTTCAGGAAATGAAATCAAGATAATGACACTGGAAGTTATAGAAGTACATGCAGAACCTTTTCATTATGAGCCAATTCATGAATTTAGGGTGGCAATAAGTTCTAATTTGCTCAAAGAAATTGCAATGAATTCAGCACATTTCAAAACATCCAGTAAGCATTATTTCTAATTTTCGGTCCATTAATTTCATATTATATGATTGCTAAAATGTGTTACAGTTCTTATTTCTGTAACCAGCACATGTCTTAGATTGGCTTCCGGATCCGAGACTATTGTCAAACATACTATGCAGGTATCAAATTAAATTTCCAAGTTTCACAATTGCTAAAATTTCAATACATTAGTACTGTGGCATGTTGTAATGTGCTGCCACACTTGGGCTAAATCAATTTTCGCGCTTATTTTGTGCCTTACTATAGCAATGTTGTATGTACTTTGTATTGATAGATGTTCTATTCATGTATTTGTAGGAAATAGCTGAATTCAAGATCGAAAATGCACCAAAAAGCATGATGTATGAGCTAAGATTGCCCTGTGGTTTGGCAAAATCAATCATTTCGGCTTCCTGCATTGCAGATGTTGTCTACATAAAAGATTCATATAGCAGAATTAAGGATCCAACCATGCTAGAGTTCTTATTTGGTCGATATTCTAGGCTACTGTTTTACATCCGTGATCCTTTTATATTATAGTAGTACAATCTTAGCTTGTTATAACCTTCATTTAGTTTTTCTATTTTATCATACAATATTTGTACTTTGTTTAGTTAAACACAATGTGTATTATCTTGTGATTTATAATAAATGCCTCATACAATAATTCATTCAAAGATCTTTGTCTATGCCTTTGTATAATCGGTCTAATTGATCATTTTTCGAAAGGGTTGAAAAGGAGATGGAGGCATTTCCTACCATTCCTAACATATAGAAAATATCTCAGTGTTGAATTTTATCAGGATATGATAAAAGGTTGAGGCAAGAATATAAGGAGTCTGCCTAAATCTCCAAGGGGAAACTCCAAGAAGGGGCGAATAGGAGACCGTGAATTCGAGTCATGTATCCATACAATGGCTGTTATACGTGAGGCTAACAGAAAAGAGTCCAGCCTATTCACATGTAGTTGTAAATGGTGCATTGTTCCTGCTGGTACATTCTCAATTATGCATTCCTGATGCTGCACTAACCCCAATTATATGATGATTAGCTAAATATATGATGATAATCCTTATGCATAAAAATTATTCGAAAGTTCATTTATATTATAACAAACTCGAATATATTTAGTTACCTCTTCCTTGAGATTGAGGGTCTCATAGCCTGAATGTAGAGATACCATGGTTCCCATCATAGTAATTGTTACTGCTCAAGCGCATATATGTTCAAGAATTAGCAAACAAAGGATAAGACAAGATCATGGAACAAACTAGTGTTGCCAAAGCCAGAATCGAGAATGGCAAAATTTGGATGTCTAAGGCGGATTTACAGTAATTTATTGTGATATTAAAGTGACTTTACTAATTTAAGGAGTACTTGACTTCTTATTGTTTTCAAAAATATATAAATCAAATGTGTAGGTCCGAATGTGTCACAACCTTATTCTTTAGTATTGGGGACATGTGTCGTTCATAGTACGTATAATTTAAGTTCACACGAGTGTATATGGGTGATGAATATTTAGGAATTGTGAAAAGCTTTCTTACTGGCTTCCTTGGTCAATTTGGAATGTTCCATTATACGTACTAGATCTTTGCACCTAATGCACACTTTGAATTCATGCATTGATTCGTCACCTGCACTCCAGTGATCTTTCTTCACTTCTGCAACATTTATTCCTATGTTTCTGCTGTCCTCACTATCTACACATACACATACATGTTATTCGACACAAAACTGTTTCTAGATCGTAACATAAATTCTTTTATGTACTCTATCTATCCCTAAAAGTTCTCTAATTACAAAAAAAAAAAAAAAAAAAAAAAAAAACTTTTAGAGACGATGAAATATCAAATAATAAAAATGCCTAAAGAAGGAAAAAAAAGGGTACCTTGCACATACTTTGATTATTGACAAATACAAAAGAAACAAGGTTGGGAGAATCATAAGATCGAGTTATGGTAATGGTTTCATCTTCAGTTGCCGAGTTTACAATCGAGCTAAATTGTTGGAGATTCACTTTCAAGACATGAGCTCCATCACAAGAGTAGTGATGAAACGCCGTGGTGTTAACCCTTAGTATGGTTGATACGTCGTGGGCCGGGTTTTTGACCCGGAATAATAACCCGGTTGGTAAGGTCTCTATCAAGGCTTTAGGACCTATGTTTGCAACAACTGCTAAAACTCTTTTTAGTATCCATCCTTCTTGTATCTTGATTCTCAACATGCTTGATATTATATTTGTTGATGAAGAGGTGATTGTGTGACTAGATAGTTCTTGTAACTTTGTTGAGGAAGTTTGTGATCAATTTAGTAGGTTAATTAAAAAATGTAGTGGTGATCCTATATGATGCATGTCTTTTTCTGATTTTGAAAAGGTTGAGGAATACAAGGGAAGTTTTAGTTGAATTAATCAAATGTTAAATATAGTAACAATATTGCATTCTTGGAAATTAGATGTAGCACATACATTTCTTTGGTGAGAAGATGTAGCATATATATGAATGTGACTATTTTTTTTTTTTTTTTTTTTTATAAATATGTTATGTTAAATGCATCATATATTTATATCTGTATTTATATTTATTATACTTATATTTAAATGTGTCAATTATTCTGACACAAATGGAATAAACAGAATTCTACTTAACGCAATTTGAATTATAAGTATTTATCTTACTTATATTTAAATGTGGCAATTATATATTTTTTTTTAACAAGAAAATGTGGCAATTATATTGAGACAAAGGGAGTAACAAAATTCCACTTAATTTTTTATTTTTTTTTTAGAAATTAAGAAAGGAAAAAAAAAACCTATTTTTTATATCGGTAGCCCAACAAAAAAAGAAGCTCATATTTAAATGGGCCTTAAAACAAGGCGAGTAGCCCAAAGAGTCTCGTATAGTTCATCCTACAAATTTGAATTCATCGCCGGCAAATCACGCCGGCCACTATCTCCGACACTCCTTTTCGGCTGATTTCCGATTCATTTAAAACCCTAATTTCGAAATCTCCCCCATTTGAATAAATACTAAGCGATCCACTGTAATTTCCGGCAACAAATTTCCGCAATTCAGAGGTAATACTTATAACAAATCATCAGCAATGTGTTTCTATCATTTTATTGTTAATTTTTCAAAAATTGGGCTTGAAAATTTCCAGATTTATGTTGAATTTGTCGCATTTCATGTTAATTGTAGGGAAATTGGTGCGATGGCGGCGAAGCAGATGGAGGAGATACAGAAGAAATTGACAATGTTGAATTATCCAAGAGCTAATGCTCCTGCTCAGTCTTTGCTGTTTGCTGGAATGGAGCGTTACGCTCTTCTTGAGTGGCTATTCTTCAGGTTCTATTTCTGCTCTTCACTATTGTTTTTAGTACCTAATTTTGGAAATGCTTTGCTATATGACATTGGAATAACATTTGATGGAAATGAATGGTGGAAAAGGATCTTTGTTGATGATCATGTAGCTGAACCCGTCTTATCGTGATTAAGGCTTTGACATTGTTATTATTGTTACTGTTGTTATTTTCGTTGTCGTTGTTGTTGTTGTTGTTGTTGCCAGTTAATGACGGTTAATTGTATTACATTTTAGTGATCTAAGAAAGAAATGTTTGATTTAAACTGTGTTAGAAGCCTGGGAGTTATTTGATTTTGTTTAAATTTGGGTGAAGTGAATTTTAGCATGTATCACTTGTTGATTCATTCAAATGACTTAAGAGTGGAAGATTAGTAGTTTAGATGTTATGGGTGTAGACCTGCCGTGCTGGTCAATCACTTTGGGTCATAACTCAAAGTGATCACTGTTCCGAGTTGAAAGTTTCTTTGAATAGTATTGGTAATGGTTAGAGGTTTTATTTGATGTTTATTGAAGTGGGATCTGGTTTAAGGGAAAGGGATCACTAGAAATGAAACTGGTGGTAGAATTTTGCAAAATGTTGGAACTATCACTGTTAGCCAATTGGGGATTGTTTTTTTTTTTTTTTGTCCCTCACTTCTTTGCTGATTGCTATAGTTTGTGTTCCAACTATATGGGGTTTGCAGATAATTACTAGTCTTCATTCGAGGCAACTGTTGCCGCATGCTGGTTCCTTTTGGAAGAGGCTTTCATTAACTGCAGAATTTTTTTTGTCTTCCCTCAATCTTGTAACACAGAATCTTATTAAAACTCTTTGCCTTTATTTGTCTATAGGCTGTTGGGCGATAAGTCTCCCTTCTCTCAGCAAAATCTGCAAGGAGATGGTGTAGACCGTGATGAAGAGACTTCTCGCATTCAGTGTATGTTTCATTGATCTTTATCTGTATTATATCAAATTTTTTAGGGTGCTATTTTTCTCAAAACTTTGTGTAGGATCCCTATGTCTATAACAATGCTGAAAATGTGTGGTGGACTTCCAACTTTCGCTTAAGTCATTTGTGCATAAGTTGTTTTAAGTCATTTCCAATAACTGTTCTTACACCATAAAGGAGCCATCTATTTTTCTTTAGACATGACTTTTCTTTCTACTTTCATCATTCAAATTTGGGATCAGGACATCTTTGCAGAGTGTTCTGACGGAGCCGTACTTTATTTTGATAAAAAACCTAAGCTTTAACAGCATCCAACTGGTTTGAATGACAACTTTGTATGCATTGGGCTTTTGTTGCCTTTAAGTCTTCCAATCAGACCACAATTGACTGATTCCAAATTTGGAACCTTTCTCTTTTATGCTCTAATTTGAAAGACATGTGCTGCTGAACTTTTACAACTTAACTAGGAAAACTGCATTGTGTCTTCGTATTTTGTTCTTTCATCATGGTTTAAGTTGTTTCTTTTACTATATACTCTATTCGTATCAATTCTGTCACTGTTTCCAGCTGTTTCTTCACGAACTGTATTTATGTGCATTACATACAAGCTGGGCATTGATTGTAAATAGTGGTTCAGTATCATTGAATTTAACTTGAACTTCTCATATCACAGACTTGGCAGAAATCGCTAAGTTTCTTGGCATCACAACCATTGTGGATACAGAGGTCATTCAAGTAAGTTAATTTAATTCCTGACAATAGTCTTTGTGAGCTCTGGAATTTCTTCTGCTGTAATTCATACTCTCAGGTCGAATTTTAATTTATCTCTTATCATTCTGTTTCAATATAATTGCAACTTCTATGTCTCATTCGTGTAGATAAGGCTGACCACCATAAGTTAAATGTATCATGCAGTATCTATTATTTATCAGAAGTTAACAACCCAAGTTTTTCTTTAGTTTCATAATTCTTTCCATTATTTCTTTTCCCGGATATTCATTAGACTGGCCTGGCTTCTTCATTGTCTTTTCTCTCAACCTTCTTGCCTTTGTTTGGGAGAGGGATGCTTACTGCTTCTTGCTCATGTGTCTTCTTGGCTTGTATTTATGCTTGTGCCTATAACTCTTAACATCACATTGCGGGTATAACTATTATGCACTGCAGTCGTGCAGAAGTCTGGATGCAACACCAATGTAGACACGTAAAATGAATGCAACTTTTACTCTGTTTTATTGTGTGTTTTATTTTTGGATGTAGTGGACCTAGTGATTACTGGAAAAATATTACTTGCTTTGTAGGTTTAGCCTGGCTAGTTGTCTTAGAATTATTGGTTATAAACTTATAATTCTGAAAAACCTTGGATCGATGATTAATCATTCATATGCTTAAATGAATATTTTTTTTCAACCAGGGACGTGGAAGCTATGAAGACCGCACAGAAATGCTTAGACTCATTGTAGACCTTGTTGAGGCCAGCATCTATGCTGATAACCCCGACTGGAGGTAGCAACGTTACTAGATAACTTGTCTTAGCTTACTTTATTAACTTTGTGCTACTAAGAGATATAACTAGGGCAATGATCTCAGATTCTCAGCCATGGTTTAAGAATGTATTGTCAGTTCCTTCTTCCTTCATTCTGTTTTCTCTTACGAGTATGCTTTCAAAATCTGCAGTGTTGATGAGCAGGTTACCAAGGACATACAGCTAATTGATGCCATTGCAGAAAAGCAGGCACAGATTTTCTCGGAAGAGTGCAAGTTGTTTCCTGCAGATGTGCAGATTCAATCCATTTATCCCTTGTAAGACATTTCTTCTGTGCATTCATATCCTAGTTAAAAAAAGATATACTCCGAGCAAGGGATTACATGTCAGGAGAGGACTTCTGCACTAATAAGTAGCCTTTGTTAATTTAAATTTCATGTACTGAAAGGCCCTGGTATAACAAAGTAGTCTTCCGTGAATATTGATGTTTTGCGTAGTTTTTGAGTTCAAAAGTTTATGCAGATGGATTGATTGATTCTAGTGATAATAACCTTGAAGATTAGAGCTGGATGGATTTTGGCTGCCAAGAATAGTTTAATTAATGTTGAATTGTTCTATCTTTCTATGTCACATAATCATGTTCATGTTGTTTAATCCATGGTTTTTTGGTTCTTAGTGGAAGATACTTTCTCTTAGTATGCTTGTAACTACTTTCTCTTAGTATACTTTCTCTTTCTATGTCACTCGCAGGCCAGACATCGCTGATCTGGAGTCCAAGCTGTCAGAGTTGTCAAAAAAATTCTCGACCCTCCAACAAAATGTTGATGATTTGGCATCAAAGGTCTGTTGCTTTTTTAGAAAATTGAAGTCACTGAAAATGAAAGCTACTGCTGATGGGGCTTTTGGGACCTTATTGCATCATCATTGCTATATGATACAGCTGGTTTAAGGATTGTGTTAACAATGAAAGCTTGTGGTATGTGTAACTCATTGCTACAGCCTCTTCTTACTTATATATCTTTCTATGTTTGGTTTCAGCATGCTTATAATCCAGATGAAGATTATGCAGAAGTAGAAACAAAGCTACGTTCTCATTTGGAGTCGTTTTTGGAAACAGCCAGATCCTTCAATGTGATTTACACAAAGGTTATAATTATTTTGACTTCTTTTTGCTTTTATTTATACGATGGCTGTCAAATGATATCTTCAAGAATTAAGTCAATCTAGTGACGAGTCTATGATTTTGAGAGATTTGCAGCATGCTTCAACATGCAAAATGCTAACCGGGCCTATTTTATGTCTTTGATCCAAAATTAAACTTCTGCTTCTTATTTGCAACACTTTTCTTTTGAGGAAACTTCAATATGATTGTAAAGTCACCTTAGTTGCATGTGATTTTCTCTTAACCTTTCTCCTCATCACATAGTTCTTTAACTTTTTTTTTAATTTATTTATCTCACTCATCACATGAGCTCCTTGAATGTCTTCCACTGTGATGCTGTTATTTTCCTTTAGAACTATCACCTTTGTCTGAACTTAGTTCTCACGTTTCTAGTTTATTATATAATACTCTCATTTTAGACGACTAATCTGGGGTGGAAGGATTAGATTTCCAAGATTTGCATATGAATGGAGCTGGAAAGGGTGGGGGAAGGGTTATGTCCAAAACCATTAATTCACAGGGACTGTGATAGTGTGATGTGTGGTCGGTGTGGATGATTTAAAAATTGTCATCAGAAAACTTTCATTTACAGCTTGTTTGGGTAAAGGTAAGGGAAGGAAAAGAAGGGGGGGGGGGGGGGGAGGGAGAGGAAGGTGAAGGAAGAATGGAGAGTTTTCCTTCCAAATCTCTTCATTGTTGGAGGGATTGTTTTCTTAGTATTTAATTCCTCCATGTCTCTTCCCTCCTATTCCCTTGATCCCTAATTTGCTATCCAAATGGAAGATACTCTCTCCCTTCATATCCCTTCCCTTCTTTTCCCTCCATTTTCCTTCAATCCAAACACACTCTTATTGATGTTATGTACTACCTCCGTTTCTTTTTAGTTGACACGTATTCCTTTATAGGAAGTTTTTTTTTTAGTTGACACGTTTCCTTTTGGGGTAAGTTTTTTACCTTGCATTCACAAGCTAACCCCACCTGTTTTATCATTCTCTGTCACTCTCTCTCCTCTCCTTAATATATGTACCTAAATCAAACGCGTCAACTAAATAGAAACGGAGGAAGTATCTCTTACTACATTCCATGACGAGCATTGAATAGTGGTATAAACAATATTGTTTTGCACTTGTGCAATTTGTTGGCTCATATTTTAACTTTTCTTTATTGAGCTAACCAGAATATTGTTTTTCTGTTGGATAATGCTAACAAATCTATTCTGTTTTTGTTGGTTTTTCGAAATTTGTGCTTTATAGGAGATACGTCCGTGGACGCACATGATGGAAGTACCTCAGCTTCATGGGTTTGGTCCTGCAGCAAATAGGTTACTGGAGGCCTATAAAATGCTGTTGAAGGTACTGTATTCCTTGTTGGAATTTAAAAATTGCATTTCCTCATTTGGAGGATGCATTTCTAACTCTTCCTTGTTAACAAATCTGAATATTCGGAGCAGAAGCTGTTGATTCTGCTCTGAACAGCTATAACGCCTGTATTTCTCTTAGTTTTCTTTTTTATTGCTTGTTTGGATTTGGGGAATTTTGAAGGTGGGTGGGGGTGTATTAGTTCAAAAATGGTAAAAACTAGTTAATATAGGGAAACTTTGGTCAGAATTTAACAGGTGTGTGACGATTGTGTGGAAGCTGTTTGAAGGCTTTGAATTATGATTACGTGAATTTTAGATACTTTGTTTTAGCTAGTCTCGGTGACTCGGTTGGCACTGACTGCTTTGGTATTGATATATACAGTTCCTGGGAAATTTGAGGAACCTTCGAGATTCACATGACGCGGTGAAGGCTGGGTCATCTGAGACAGTTGGTGGTGAGCCTTCCTCTGTTGTGAGAATTATATCAGAGTGTGAAACATCTCTTACACTGTTGAATCGAGATCTTGGTATACTTTCAGCCTCTATTGCTCGTGAACGGGGTGAATTAACTTCATAGCCTCAAGATCATTGTTTTGTACAGTGTGTAGGGTTGTTTTTGAGTGTTCAGGCCACAGGTGGTATGGTAGCAATTGCAACTACTTTCTGATCCGTAACATGTTGCCATCACGATGTTGTAGTGTTATCTAATTTTTTTTGTTAAATCAAAATGTATCTTGTTCAAAATTCTTGTATATTGATATTCGGAAGAAAGTTATGGCTTGACATGTCTAATGTAAAACTAACCTGATTTTGTTGTGTTGATTACCTTCATGTATAAGCTGACTTAGCACACTTGTGGAGCAATAATAAGGGAATGTTAAGTCTGAATTCATTCACAATTTGATTGTCAATTTCACATGATGTGCTAAGATGAATGAAAATTACCTCCACACATTCTTTCTATGTAAGAGATGAACGAAAATTAGCGAAGATACTTAGCATATGATAAAGGTACAATTTCACATGATATGATAAGTCTTAATTCATATAATACACATGAGCCTTTTAATTATTTTCTTTATTCAAGTTAACGAAATAATTCTTCTTCTTCTTCTTATTATTATTTTCGTCTAGTTGCAAATGAAATAAACCCTTCTCAAAATACTCTGGGTGGGTGCTAGACTGCTAGTGGTGATACTGTAGAATATGGAGGATTTGGATTTGATTAACTTATTAATGACATTTGACATGCCTCTTGTTTTCTTAAACATCTCCTTAACAATTTTTGCGTACCCTTCCCAAAGTTGTAAATAATAAGAAATGAGGGAACTATTATTATTGGTTTATCAAGTTTTTCAGGGGGATACGGATATCTAAGTTGGTTAATGAAGCGATGATGAATTAAAGCTTGTATCTATTGGAATGAGAATAAATGTAGGTATTATATCCGTCATGAAAAATAGGGCAGAAATGACTAGATTTCTAGGTGGGTGTGAAAGTATCATCCTCCACCTCTAACGTGCCCCATCAACATCTATTTAGTGTTAATACAAAGTATAATGACAAGTTTAGACAAGTAGTTATGTGTAAATGGTAAGCAATGGAATATTCATGAGAATCGGATCTTACTCAATTTGGTTACACTCCATATATCGACGAATTAGTGAAAACAAAGGACGTTTTACCAAATTGAGCTTTAAACGGAAACTATTTACGAAAATGGTTGCGTGGCAAAACTATTTACCAAACTAAGCTTCCAGCATAAAACGCTGTCCGAGACAGCGTTTTATGCTCTGGTATAACGCTGTCTCTGACAGCGTTTTTACCTTTTGTATTTTTTTTAAAAAAAATTATTAACAATTGTATGTTGAACATAAAACGCTGTCCCAGACAACGTTTTACCTTCTGTATTTTTTTAAATTCAGTAGGGCATAAAACGCTGTCTCGGACAGCGTTTTATCCTTGGGTTTTTTTTAAAAAAAATTCAATGGGTAAAACGCTGTCCGGGACAGCGTTTCATGGCCATATATCAGTATGTTCACTTCAGCAGAATGCGCAAGAACTCAACCTCAACCTCAACGCTTTCCCTCCTCCCTCTCACACTAAACCACGACCGTACTCAAACACCCGCATTGCCGCCGCCGCCCACCCTTGCGCCACCGCTGCTGCCGCCACCTTGCTGCTGCCCTCCTCCCTCTTACACTCACTCACTCAATTTCGTGGTTAGCCCTAAACTGAATTTAGTGTAATTGCATAGTTATTGTGGTTAATTATTGTGAATTGTATGTAATTGCTCTTACTTGTTGTTAATTCATGTCAATTGCATGTAATTGTTGCTAATTATTAATGAAAATGTGGTACATTGTTGATAATTATTGATGGTGATGTGGTACATTGTTATTGAAATTGTTCATGACATTGGTGAAGTTGATGATGGTGAAAATGTTGAAATTATTGAAATAGTTTAGGTTGAAATTGTTGAAATAATTCAAATTGTTCATGAAATTGTTGAAATTGGTGAAGTTGTTGAAAGTGAAGTTGTTATAGGTGAGAAGAGTCTTATTTCAGTGTTGATAATTTACCTCGCTCTAGATTTCGATAATCCTAAAATGTGTTTTGGTTATGTAGAATATGGCGTCACAAAATGTAGTTTTGTTATGCCGGTGGGGAGGAGAAATGCTGTTTGATGGACCCCGGGTCGAGTATAGTGGGGGAAATATGGAACCACTAACACTAGAACCGAACATGACTATGAATGATTTGATGAATGAGGTTCATAGTAGTATTGGTTCAGACCCGATGACCGTTGACGTACACATTAAAATGAGGTTTGAGACCGGCAATGGGGTTCAAGTGTTACCGGTTTCTACGAATAAGCATGTGACAGCTCTAAGGAACGTTGTTGCAATGAAGGGTGTTCCCACTGAAATATATGTGGAAACGGTGCCTATATGTACCCAACAAAGTACTCGGCCAGAACAACAATCTACACGTATTTCTGGGTACAACACAGAGCCCTTTCAAGTGTCGTCACACGACATTCCATCAACTGAATATGGGATGGGATCTTTCAGTCGAATGCTACACGACGATCAATTTGACATGCCATTTAGTTCTCATATTGCTTCACCTGTACATGGGGGGGGGCATATTTGGCATTGACTGGCGAAGCTTCACCGTCTCAGCATGCGCCGAATCATCTTGAAGATATTGTGAATAACGAACTTTCTATGTATGATGTGTACACAAATGATGAGGCCGATAGCGGAGAGGAGGAAGATGGACTTCAGAACATGGATGTAGAACCTGCTCGGATGGAAGTGGGCGAGCCCCTGGTTAGAACTCCCATTCCTTGGTTCAGTCAGGTGAACGAGAACTACGAAGTTGATCAGCATTTGCGTTGGTTGAGGGGGAAAACACCTCCAGCTGGTCTTGGTTCCTGGGTTGCATTCGGGTTCATGTCACTCAACGAGATGGCCTTTGTGTTATATCTGACCGACATCCTGGGATCATTGCAGCAATGACTGATCCGAACGTTGGATTTACCGAGCCGCGAGCCTATCACAGATTTTGTGTTCGCCACATAGCTTCTAACTTGAAGACTCACGTGCGACGAAACGACATGAGAGATATGTTCAAGGCTACGGCGTACCAAAGGCAGGAAAGAAAACTACACGGCGATCTGTGTTTCATTAGTGAGGCGTGTAACAAGGCAATGGAGTACATTGTTCAAATTCCGTTCACCATGTGGTCCCTCTTTCACGACGCTGGACGTAGATACGGGATTTGCACTACTAACTTCTCTGAGACATTCAACAACGTGTTGAAGGGAGCACGGTTTCTACCGATCATGTCCCTAGTCGAGTTAACTTTTCATAGAGTTAACAAATATTTCACTTTGAGAAGGGAGTCTTCTGAGGCAAGATTTGAACAGGGACTTGCATACCCCCCCAAGGTCACTGCCATTCTAGAGAAGAACACCGCAAAAGCCAGATATCACAGAGCGGATGCGTATAACCGTCGATTGCATATTTACCAAGTTACAACAGAAAGGGGAGACCGACTTGGTAGTAAAGGAGGCCATAAACATACTGTTAACTTTCAGTTAAGAACGTGTACCTGCAACAAACCTACGATATTTCACCTCCCATGTTCTCACGTTCTAGCCGTATGTGCAACGTACTCACTATCAGAGCGGCCGTGGGTTGACCCGGTGCTGCAATCGGAGGCATACACGAGCACATACGCGCCGCAATTCTGGCCAATCCCTTGCGAGACAACCTGGACGCCCTATAACGGTCCCAGAATCATTCCCGACGGGAGCATGTTGCGTGGAATAGGGCGACCAAGGTCAAAGCGCATACGTAATGAAATGGATGAGACTAACCGGCCCGCGAGCAAATGTAGTCGTTGTCACGTTCAGGGCCATAACCGGGCAACGTGTCCATCGAGACCCTCAGAGGACCCATGACTGTTAACTGAAATTCGTTGTAATCGTAGATGGAGGAATTATTTTGTAATAGAAAATTTTGATTTAATAACATTTGGAACATTTTGATTTAATAACATTTGGAACATTTGATCGTTAACATTTTGGTTAATTGCTAATGCGTTAACTCTGTTGGGATTTGTTAAATTGCATGTGAACAGATACGATGGACGGTAGGGCTGTGGAGCTGGCTGTTGTGGTGGCTGTTGGAGGACTGCAGCATGCAAGCTGTTTGCTGAAGCTTGTTTTCTGCCTGGATGCTGGTTGCTGTTTCCAGCAGAAAAGCGCTGTCTGAGACAGCGCTTTATGTTCAAGCATAACGCGCTGTCTGAGACAGCGTTTTATGTTCAAGCATAAAGCGCTGTCTGAGACAGCGCTTTATGTTGAACATATAAAATAGTTGTAGTTGAATTTTTTTTTAAAAAAACCCAAGGATAAAACGCTGTCCGAGACAGCGTTTTATGCCCTACTGAATTTAAAAAAATACAGAAGGTAAAACGCTGTCCGAGACAGCGATTTACCCTGGAAGCTTAGTTTGGTAAATAGTTTTGCCACGCTACCATTTTTGTCAATAGTTTCCGTTTAAAGCTCAATTTGGTAAAACGTCCGAAAACAAAAGCTTTGAAACCAATAATGAAAAATAACGTAAGAAAAAAAACATAAAAAAGCCTAATTAAACACGTCACCTTATCAACCTTTTTAGCAATAAAATAAAAATATCTCCTTCTCAATTCTCACTTTCTGAGAGCTCAAAAGGCCAAATTAAAATATACACACCCATTTTTCTGAATAATAAAATCAAATTAATAATATATATATTTTTTTAATATCTTTTCCATCCATTTGTCCTGTTTTATTTCAGTTTTAATTTCCTTATTTCAAAAAATATCCGCCATTGAAGAAGCTCTTCGAAGCTCTGCACCTCCACTAACTCACTGTCACTGTTCTAAGTTCCGTAAGTTTTCTTCTCTTCTCCTTCTTTCTCTCTCCTCTCTCTTCATGCCATTTTTGTGTGTTATCTAGCTCAATTAATTTTGATTTTTTTTAATAATTTATATTACTCATATTTGTGATTTTTTTAGGGTTTTCTTTGTGCATTCATTTTGATAATTTGATATTTGAATCGTCAATTTTGTTAGTGTAATTGGAAAGTTTGTTGTTTCGTCAGGTGTTTGTGCTTCGGTCAACGATAGGTCAAAGTAGTTGGTTTAGTTGACGGTGTTTTGGTATTGATTGGTATGAAATGGATGTTGGTTATAGTTTTAAGCAGTCCAATTTGATTCATGGAATTGAGTGCAGAAGATATCGTTCTGATTTTATCCATTCGAAATTGGGGTTTAGAGTCAGTGGGTTTGGGTATAATAAGTATGGAAGTAATTCAAGGTCAGTTTCAAGAATCTGTTTGAGGAAGAATGTGAAGGGAATTGGTAGTGTTAGTGGTGGTTCTATCGTAAAATTGCCGTCTGGGAGGGATTTTGATGGTCAATTGTGGGGTTTGCCTTCGAGGAAAGCCGGGGTAGGTGGGAGCGAGAAGGGTTCTGAGTCTGGGAGTTTGGGAGGGGTTGCTCGGTGTCAGGGTAATGATGCTGTAGTTTACATCGATGGAAATGGTCGGAGTGCTGAGGTAGGAAAAGATTATGAAGGAGAAGGGTGGATAGAAGAGGATAGTCTTGACTTAGAGTTGGATAGTTCTGGAGGAGAGAAGGAAAAAAAAGAAGATGAGGTAGCTCAGGATACAACTTTGGAGGATTTGAGAGAATCGTTGCTGAAGGCTTGCAGGGAATTGGAAATTGCACGGCTGAACAGTACTATGTTTGAAAAGAAGGCACAGAATATATCGGAAGCTGCCTTTGCGTTAAAAGATCAAGCAGTGAATGCTAGGAATAATGTTGATAGTACGCTGAAAATGATAGAAGAGCTAATAGATCAAGAAGTGGGTGCTAAGGAAGCTCTTCAGAAAGCCACAATGTCTCTTTCTTTGGCTGAGGCAAGGCTTCAGGTGGCCTTGGACACTGTAGAGATTGTCAAATCGAATAGTGATTCCGAAAACGAAAGTGATGAGGTTGTATTAAACCAGCTAAGGCAAGAGGAGGATGCCCTACTAGCTGCTCAGAAGGAGATTAAGGAATTCAGGATGGCTTTAGAAAATTGTGAAGCAGAGCTAACAAGGCTGCAGCTAAAGAAAGAGGAGCTGCAGAAAGAAGTGGAAAGATTGAATGAAGTTGCTGATCAGGCTCAGATAAATGCACTGAAAGCTGAAGAGGATGTCGCTAACATAATGCTTTTAGCCGAGCAGGCTGTTGCTTTTGAGCTTGAGGCTGCTCAGCGCGTGAATGATGCTGAGATGGCCTTGCAGCGAGCTGAAAAGCTGCTCTCTAATTCTCAAACTGATGTCAAAGATTCTATTGATCTTTCAAGTAGGTCATCCTTTAATGAAGATGTTGCTATTCAGGAAGAGATGTCTGAAGGATCTCTGGGTACTGATGGCTTTGAAAGTGAAAACAATTTGGTTGTAGAAGGTGCTTCTTTGGCCAGCAAACCATCACTGGATAAGCCCTCTGACAAAACAAGCCAGAATCTGATTGACGTTGCTTTATCTGATGATTCAAGCGACAAAGAAAATAGAAAACCATACGTAGAAGTCAATAGAGATGCTGATGCAGAGGTAGAAAAAGTGAAGAGCGCAGCACAAGCTAAGAAATTAGAGATACAAAAAGAAGTGGCACGTGACAGTTCTCCCCCAAGTAGCTCAAAGGCATCAGTGAAGAAATCATCTCGATTCTTTTCTGCATCATTCTTTTCATTTGATGAAGATGATGAAGAGTTCACACCAGCCTCTGTTTTTCATGGTGTTATGGATTCTGCAAAGAAGCAGTTGCCAAAATTGATTGTTGGAATATTGCTCATTGGAGCAGGGTATGTTGAACCAGTTTTTAGTTTTTTCTTTTCCAGTTCTATTTTTCTTCTACTGTTGTTGTATGTGATGCGTAAATTTTGTAAAATACTGCTCTATAAATATCATTTTTCTTATCCCTCATATCTCTTATGAAGTACTACATGTTAATCTGTGAAAAAAATGAAGTCTCTTTAAATTATGCCGAAACCTTGGCTTAGCCTCTAAGTTTTACTTAGCTAATGTATTCGGTATCAATTTGTTTGGGCACCTTTGTGCCGAGTAGTTGAATTCCTTGGTTGAAACTTCATTTCATTTCTAATTAAGCAGAAATTTCATTCTTTTTTAGATGCCTAATGGATTGTAACATGTAGTCCTCTACACCTTCTAAATGTTCACTACATGGCTTATAAGTTAATCTGTTCCACAAGGAACTAATAATCTAATACTTGGAATCACTTCTCTGAACTATCGTGTTGTCTACTCAATGTCTGATGAAAGAAGAGTTCTCATAGTTTCTGTTACCAGTTTTTGTTCGTAATGTCTCCTATGTTTGAAGTCCTATCTGTATACCAATTAAAATTTAGCAAACAATTATGTATGAGCTTAGTCAAGTTCCTTTCTTGATAAGACTAATATTTAAAATCCTTCCTAGGTTCTGAAACATTGATAGCTGAATGAATTTGATATTTCACTGTTTATTGTCATAAATAATGCATATATTACCTTATCTGATACTAGGTTAACTTACTAACAGGGTTGGCTATTATATTAACCGAGGTGAGAGAGGTGCTCAGCTGTTTCAGCCACAACATGTATTAACCTCCACTATTGAAGAAGTTTCTTCAAATGGAAAACCTCTGATTCAGCAAATGCAGAAAATTTCTAAGACAGTGAAGAGTCTAATTGATAAGCTTCCCCAGCAAGAGGCATGTGTATCCTCCACTTACCCATTTTTCATTAATATATAAAATATATTATAGTTCATATATTCGATTTCTTAAGTGTCTTCTTATAGTCTTCTGAGAAAAGGTTTTAATCTGGTGTTTGTTTGTTGTATGTCCTCTCTTTCTACAGATTAATGAAGAGGAAGCATCCTTGTTTGATATGCTATGGTTGTTGCTGGCCAGTGTGATATTTGTACCTATTTTCCAGAAAATTCCTGGGGGTAATACTTCTCTCTACCTTAAATGATGGGTTGTATCTATTGTATGTATAATGTATTTTCAGAATGTATGCAGCCCTGTAAGAATTTTATTGAGCAAATTTATATTCCAGAAAAGTTCGAATGTTACTGATTTTCACTCCCACTCTTCTGATATGTGTCAGAAGTTTTAGTATTGCAATCTCTAATTATAATACTTTTTGGCAATCTTATTCTTTGCGTTTTCTTATCTTCAGGTAGTCCTGTCCTTGGTTATTTGGCTGCTGGAATCTTGATTGGTCCATACGGCCTCTCAATAATTCGTCATGTGCATGGAACTAAGGCGATTGCAGAATTTGGAGTTGTGTTTTTACTATTTAACATTGGCCTTGAGGTACAAAAATCTGTCAAGGCTCTTGTAACATAATCTGAACTAATGTAATTACCAAGTTACAGAACTTAAATACGTTTTGATGTTTTCCCCATTGACAGCTTTCTGTTGAAAGACTGAGCTCCATGAAGAAGTACGTATTTGGTTTAGGTTCTGCCCAGGTACTAAAATGTTAAGTTCTCGCCATTCACATATATCTTGGCCCTCTTGGGGTTATTCATGCTTTTAGTATTGTAGTACTGACTTTGGGTTATGCAGGTGCTGTTAACAGCTGCAGTAGTTGGCATGGTGGCCCATTATATTTCAAAACAGGCAGGTCCTGCGGCAATAGTAATTGGGAATGGCTTGGCCTTGTCATCAACTGCTGTTGTCCTGCAGGTAACATTCATAATTGTTAGTTGTGTGTTTTGTGCTCCCTCTAATGCCCTAATAGGACTATAGGGGACTAGGAGTGTGACTCTAAACTCCATCATAATATCTAATTGTTCGCTTTGCACAAGGTCATCTTTAGGCAAAACACAACCATAAATCCCATCTTACAGATTGTTCACTGGGATATTTGCTTCCATTCTAGGATTCTAGCAATTTAGCATAAGAAATCAAAGTGTCTGTGTACATGTGCTTGCCCCTTGAGATTGAAATGTGCTATTTTCCATGTCTTTTGATGTTTAACTAAGGCTTAGAGCAATATACAAAGGAAGGTGCGGGTAGTTTGATCTTGTGATATTTAGGTTCAAACAAAGCTTGCTTAATAAAAAATATTGGGGATCAGATGAGCATGAGAATGTACTCCAGAGAAAACTAAATTTCTAATTATCTACCTACTTCCACTGAGAAAATTATATTTTGTGCTGCATAAACTTAATCTAGATGATTTTTGATGGAGTTTCTTCAACTTTTGATTCAGGTTTTGCAAGAGCGAGGGGAGAGCACTTCACGGCATGGGCGTTCTACATTTTCAGTCTTACTATTCCAGGTAAACCTTTTAGTCTGGGATAAATTCTGGAGATAGTTAATTTATGAGGAGAATCTTCCTTCCATTGTCATTTGTAAAGAGCTTTTGGTTGATGTTTGATCACAAGTTGAATCCTTGCCATTTTCTACCAAGACATGTCTGGGCTAACAAATAGAGCCAAGGGGTAGATAGATGTGCCAGTGCTGCTAAATTTTGGATTATGTGGTAAACTGGCTGTCTATGGCCATGCATATTTTCTAGCTGCAGCTTCACAATTGCATGATTTACATTTGATTGATGCTTGTAAAATACGCCATTGCTCCTTGAAATCCAATCAAGCTCCTTGTATAGATCTTAGTCAATATATTATTGGTTCACTTTTTTTTTTTGTCCTGAAATAATTTCTGGTATTTTGCTTTTGCTTTTCTTTGCTATTTTTCCAGGATTTAGCTGTCGTGGTTTTGCTGATACTCATACCACTCATTTCACCAAATTCTTCTAAAGGCGGGGTAACTACTTCAAATATTTTTGCATTATTTCATTATTTTGCTCTTTGTTGAATGTCGTTATGCGTATTTGTTTTTTAATCTTTATGTACGTTGCTTGGTTTCATGTCCTGCAATGTGGTTATTTGTGATACGTGGCAAGTTGGCAACTTATAATTTTTTACTGTGAATCTTTGTAACAGAGAATAAGTGGTTATTGATTTGAAAAGTATCCCACTGCTTTTCACTTTGTTGAAATTACTTAAATTAGCTTTTTAGTTAATGAACTGAAACATCCATGTTAGAAGCATTAATTGAAACTTAAAAGTGCAATCTAAGTCATAATTAATTGATTTTAACCAAGGTTAAGCTGAAGCTGTGGCTTGAGCATGATGATCCTATCATCTGTAATAGGGGTTGAGGTGTGTTGTGGATTCATAGGGTGTTTCTGGTTTGTGGTATGTTCTGTGTGGTCATTGCCAGCTTAGTTGCTTTGAGTTTTCCAGAATGGCTGGCAAGCTTTCTTATATATATATTCTTTTTCATGATGGTTGTGGTTATGGATCCAGTAAGATTTTTATTTGAGCTGGTGCATTGAAAAGCATTAAGGGAGATTAAAAGGTATCTGAGGGGCCAGAATGAAAGGATTGGTTTTAAGTATACCTCTAAGGTGGCTTTTCTTGTGAAAGATTTAATTCTGAGGATGAAACCTTACTCTATGTGTTGCATCAAAAAGCAACAAGTAGGATAGTGTTGGGACCATAATGAAAACAAATATAAAGCGCTTCATACAAAGATTAAACTTGTCAATTTACTATTTCCTCCATTCCATATTATCTGTGTATTTCAATTCACTTAAAATACCTATGCAATATTATTTGTCAGCTTGATTTACCTATGGAATAGGGCTTGTGGTTTTTAATATTGATTATATAACTAACAACTCATCAAATTACCTGTACATAATCAGTGACTTTTATTGGAATGGAAATAGTATATCTAATGAAGAGGTAGATGTCATCCCCTAATTCATGGGCAGAACATAGTTGTAGGGGTTAAGTAAAAGGAAGAAATTCTATAACAATCTAAACAACTACATTAAAATAATGACCAATAATTTATTTTACTCTGCTGTTCATTCAGATTGGTTTCCAAGCTATTGCAGAAGCCCTAGGATTGGCTGCTGTTAAGGCAGTTGTTGCAATTGCCGCTATAATTGCTGGTGGACGCTTGGTAAGTGGTTGAATTTATTGCACATTTCAGTTCCAGCGTGAAGATAGTTGTTACTTGTTAGTGATTATTTACAATTTTATGCTACTAGTATCTTGTCTAAATACATTGAACTTATATTGCTCAGAATATATTGTGATGTATTGCTAGCTAATATTGTTAATATCTTAATAAGTCACCTTGGTTGTCCCTTCTCGGTCAAGTAAACTAAAGAGAAATCATTGTGTGAGACAAAACTAATGACATTGTAGCTTACCCCCTCTATCCTATAGTTGTTTGCTCACTTTGCTTTTTTATCTGTCCCAAAATAGTTTGCTCACTTTCCTTTTTGTCTATCTTAGATTAGTTTGACCATTTCCAAAAATGGTGATGGCCACTGTATTTTGATCATCAATTATTATTTTTCCCACTACCAAAAGTTAGGATCCCACATTCTGCTCTTATTCTCTTATAAATTACTCTACTATCTCTAATCACATTTGATTAAATAACATTTGATGACCAATCACCAACTTGTCTCGTCAAATTATGAGCCATGATAAGTGAGAAAACTATTCTGGGAAGGAGGGGTGTGTTAGTAATTATAATACAAAAGAGATTTTCCCTCTATTTTTTTTTTTGGTAATCTGTATAATTTGTCATACACTCTTCTTGCAAGTTTGAACATAAAAAACTAAGAAAATTTGTCATACATTTATATCGCTGGTTATATATGCATGAGGGAGCAGTTTTGTTACTTCAGGAAAATTTCTCTCTTTGTAAGTCTAGTTTTCAAAATTATAATCTTTGCTTGATGTTATTTGTTAAACAATTACTTTGCAAGAACATATTCTTACTTCTTGGATCATCTGCAGTTTCTTCGACCAATTTACAGGCAAATTGCTGAAAACCAGAACGCGGAGATATTTTCAGCCTGTACACTTCTTGTTATACTAGGGACAAGTCTCCTTACTGCTAGGGTGAGTGGGAAAACTTTTATGAATCATTAACTTATGCTTTTTAATTTAATTTTTTTTTTCTTAATTTATTGTGAGGGGCTAGTTGTCACAACCAAGTGGGAAGGGTGATTGTCTGAAAAAGAGTAATCCTGTCCAGTGTTCCTGTCATCAGTTCATTTAGATCTTGTTTTTTATTCTTTCAGGCTGGTGAAAAAGAGTAATCCTGTCCAGTGTTCCTGTCATCAGTTCATTTAGATCTTGTTTTTTATTCTTTCAGGCTGGTCTATCTATGGCATTAGGGGCATTTTTGGCTGGTTTACTTCTTGCAGAAACTGAGTTTTCATTGCAAGTGGAGTCAGATATTGCACCATATCGCGGCCTTCTTTTGGGTCTTTTCTTCATGACGGTATGTACTTCAGATCTTGCTTCCCAACATGCATCTTCTTAGATTTTCACTAAAGCTCTTCATTATGCTCTGCTGCCAATCTTTCCATCATGCACATAGAGTATGTGTGGCCTTCCATTGGGATTTCTGTCTGTAATTTTTTTGGAAGCTTGTGATAGATTCATTGCTGAAATCTTTCCTTTTTCTTTGGGGCAAATTGCTTTTGCCTTATCCTCTGAATTATTTAAAATTTAATCTGAGTTACACCTGGGATTAGCTAATCCATGCATAACCAGCTAGGTGCTGACCTTAAGCATGTTTGATATAAAGGCTCTGGACTTTCTTCTTTACTGTTTTCTCAGAGCCATTGGGTTCTGATTCCCATTTATCTGACTGTCACTTTTGATATATATATTTTTTAAAATGATTATTGTGTAGACTGTCATTTGTTTCATTTAATTAACTTTTCGTCACAATTTGTTAATTTAGTCAGCACCTGTTTTTTGTTTCCAGGTAGGGATGTCTATTGATCCAAAACTTCTCCTCTCAAACTTCCCGGTTATCATGGGAGCATTAGGACTTCTAATCGTGGGCAAGACTATGCTGGTTACTTTAGTTGGTAGAGTCTTTGGTGTTTCAACAGTAGCTGCAATCAGAACAGGTCTTCTTCTTGCTCCTGGAGGAGAATTCGCCTTTGTTGCATTTGGTGAAGCTGTAAACCAGGTTTGACCTTGCGTTTTGTTAATCCTCATTTTCTAATTTTATTGGAATCCTTCTTGCATTGATTATTATTTTGTGTCTCTTCTTTGTCTCAATTGGTGCACCTGAAGAATACAGCATCTTTAATCTTTGATTCAAGGCATTGTTTGTATGTTACAAGTTTACTTTCATTTTGGCTTAGATTTTGATAAAGTGATAAACTTGCATAGTTGCATGTTGAGCACTTGAGTATTCTTTGTTATTTATGCAAATGAGGCAAAAAGCCTGGGGAAAAATTGAATTACATAAACTAGCTAGTAACTACACATGGTAACGCCAGTCCTTCAATATTATCCTAGATACTTTTGATCAGATTCATCAGAGGAGCTTGTGGAACTTGTATATGCTAGCAATTCATCACTATACTTAATTCCCAGTAACAATGCATCGGAACAATCTCCCCATCTGGAAATTTGTTTAGATTGCTGCATACATTCTCCTAGCTTCATTCTTCAAGATATGAAATACCCCCAATACCCCCCCCCCCTCCACCTGCAAGCCCAGGTCCTCCTTTTACAGCACCATCTGTGCCAACCACACACAAGGAACCACCCAACTAAATGATGGACTTGCATGTTATAACTTGTGGATAATGGGAGGGTCCAATTAAATGTGCTTGTGTGTAACAGCATAGATTATCAATGGTAGAGGTTTTCGTATCTCTTCTATCAGTGTGCATCTAAATTTATTACTCTTCTACATGATCACAAGCACAATTCTATCTCTGTCTGTCCAGAATATTGGGGTAATTGTATTAGCTCATTAGCTGAAATAACTCTATATTTGCTTATTGCTGTTGGCTTTACCTGCAGGGCATAATGTCTCCACAGCTGTCATCTTTGTTGTTCCTTGTGGTTGGGATTTCCATGGCTCTTACACCATGGCTGGCTGCTGGTGGCCAGCTGATTGCCTCTCGCTTTGAGTTGCATGATGTGCGAAGTTTATTACCTGTTGAGAGTGAGGTATCTCGTATCCTTCTTTTTATTTTTCCTACAATATGCCCTTAGGTTCTTGCTCACCGTGTTGATGAAGTTTGTGATAATTATATGGCCTAATTGAAGTGAAATTGGTTGGCCTTGTGATTTATTGTCCATGAAATCTGACTTGAGAAAGCATGGGAACGGAAGATAGGTTCTGTTTGTTTGTTTTGGAAAGAAAACTGCTGGGAAAATGCAGAGGAGTGCAAGCAAAAAGTTTCTGAAATGGGTTGAAGAGGGAACCATTTCCAACTATTTAATGCATGACCCAGAAAATTCTGAAACGTTTTGTAACTTGAAGTCAACATGGCACATTTCCAGCCATTAATAGTTAGATAGGTGGAAAAAATGCTTATAATAGCTCTTTATTCGCTTTCATCTTCTTCAAGTGTACTTTTTTACTTTAGTTGGTGGTTGCTGGAGGAAGTTTCCTGTCCGCTTGCACAATGGTGGTCTGTTCTGATAGGATATGAGCGTTGGTGGTTTCAAATTGAATGTTGCGGCTGATTCATGGGTACTAAACGTTAAGTTTGACGCTTTATTTCAGTGGGTTGAGCTCAGTGTTAGCTAATTCTCACTAGCTGTGCTTTTTAACAGAATATCTCTTTGCACTAAGAATCATTTTTTAACAAAAAACTAAAACATAAAAATAAAATTGATTGAACAGTATTTAATCTGATGCTACCTTTTTGTAAGTTAATGCTTCCCCTTTCCCTGTTTTTATACTTTTATAGTTGTCGTTTTCCTGTAAGTGCAGCCAATTTTTAAAGTCTTAGATGGCTGGTGCTATTTAGTTTGAATGAGAACAACTGAAATGTCTCCAAGCACTCTTGCTTATGTCAGACCTGTAGCAAGGATGATTTTGACTGCATGCCTATTCCCGACTATAGTAATTTCTTAGGAAAATGACCATTCAAGATTAAAATTCATAAAGATAAACAGCGTCTGGTTTAGGTGGGTTTAAGTGAGATATTGCAGGAGATTCAATAGTTTTTATTGTCCAAAGATAAGTTGGTTCAATGCTTGAATTGATAGGTTTGGTTCCTGAAGGTGTTGGTGTGATGGCCATCTGCTGATTGTAGAAGCAGGCTGTGCATATTCCTAAAGAAGGATTTTATTGATCATGAAAGGTCTACTAGAATTAATGATGGGAATCAGTTAGGCTCCTCAAACTGTCATGTCAGGCTACTGGTAGAAGCAGGCTGTGCATATTCCTAAAGAAGGATTTTATTGATCATGAAAGGTCTACTAGAATTAATGATGGGAATCAGTTAGGCTCCTCAAACTGTCATGTCAGGCTACTGAAAAATCTCAGTAGTTTACAGAACATAAGGGGAGGAATTGAGTCTAAAGATAGACCTATCCACTTAGCTTATCCAGCAAGGATTCTAAATGACGATTAGTGTCAACATAAATGATGTGTTGCTCAAAAATGTTCTTCAGTTAGAATGGCATGCCTCTTGACTAGCGTGGAAGGACTTAGGTCTAGCTGAAGGTGTATCTCAACAACAAAAATGACACGAATTCCCTTTCCTGTTTATGATCCATACTTCTTTCAGTTCTGACCTTTCAGGCTTTCAAATGATTTTTTTCTGTTTCTTATTTTTCTGCTGACATGTTTTATTTCATCCCAGACGGATGACCTTCAGGATCATATTATTATATGTGGATTTGGACGTGTAGGCCAGGTGAACGTCATTGTTATAAATTATTAAGTTCCTGAAATCTATCTTGAGCTTTGCCTCTTTTTTTTTTTTTTTTTTTTTATCTCCCTCCCTGTGATCTTGCTTCTTTCATGCAGATCATAGCTCAGCTCCTGTCAGAACGTTTGATACCATTTGTTGCTCTTGATGTTAGAAGGTAAACTTATACTCATTTTAAATATGCACCAAATATTCTTTCAAAAAAAAAAAAAATGCACCAAATATGGCTGGATCTCCTTTAAAGCTATGTGTATGATCGTGGTAAGATTTGCATATATAGCTCTTTCTCTTGCCCACCTCCCACTTAATTGAGACCTTTAAGCACTGGGTTTATTTTTATTTGATCTTTTTTTCCTAGGGCAGACGATACTGCTTTGTTTTTTTTATTTTTTATTTTTTATTTATTTTTTTTTAATTTATTTATTTTTTTATTTATTTTATTTGGGGTCTATGGATGTATCTTTTGTCTTAATGCAGAAAAACTAGATATCACATACTCACATATACTGTACTTAAAAATCTCATGCAATAGTCACCAATCACAATAATATGATAAATGTATTTGATCCTCTTGGGAAGCAAGCTAGTATATTATAGCTGCTGACAAATGTGTGTGTGCGCGCGTGTGCTTGTGCGTATGTTGAGGCGAAATAAGTCTGCTAGGGCTGTAGCAAGTTTTCTTTGTCTTAAAGATGACAAACCTAGCTTGAAAATCTAGGCAAGCATCCAAGAAATGAAAGTAGAGGTTATATTTAGTACAACTATACATGAGAAACATACGAAGTTAAATAAGGAAACAAAAGCCTTTAGAAATTTGCATTAGTTACTGTTTCAAAATTTTCACTTAATTGTGTTTCTGAGTGTACCTCGCATTGAAAAATGAGTTTAGCCACACTTCAGAGCATTTATTTTGTACACATTTCAATGAACTGGTTGATAATACAGTTTAGAGACCATTACCGCAGTATATATATATATATATAGGCTACTTTTCTGCTTTCTTATGCCTTACCGAGGATGGGAGCCTCTTCAGATATATAAATGTTGATGTTATTTGACCGATGGAAGGTCATAATGTATAATAACTGCTTTATGCTTCATGTCTCTTATGCTTATGTTTCACGATTTCAGTGACAGGGTAGCAATTGGTCGTGCACTTGATCTTCCTGTATATTTTGGAGATGCTGGAAGTCGTGAGGTACAACAAATTTCCAAGCTATTCAAGCTTGTTGCATATTCTCATTTAAAAAGCTTTACTGTTTTGTGTTTAGGTACTTCATAAGGTTGGGGCTGAAAGAGCTTGTGCCGCAGCAATAACATTGGACACTCCTGGTGCAAATTATAGAACTGTTTGGGCATTGAGCAAGCATTTCCCAAATGTTAAAACCTTTGTTCGTGCACATGATGTCGATCATGGTCTAAATCTAGAAAAGGCTGGGGCAACTGCGGTATGATGTTTAATGTTGTACCCTGTTTATTCTGTTTTTTTTTACCTGTCATAGTCCTCATGGATAGCCTTTCATATTGTGGACTGTGGACTACTGAGATTTTGCTTGATTTAATTATTGTGTGCTATATAAAGTTGTATCATGTTGGGGAATTTTTTTTGTTTTCTGAACTGATAATATCAGAGTTAATTCATATTCTGACATTGTTATTATGCAAAAAAAGTCTTACAATATTCTTGCTCCAGGTTGTCCCTGAGACATTGGAACCAAGTCTACAGTTGGCAGCTGCTGTTCTTGCACAGGTATGTCTTGATATTGTGAAAGAATGTGAGCAAGTGATAAAATTGTGATTGTGTAGTGTGTTTTTGTTTATCCCTCCATAAGAAATTTTAATAGCTCAATCCTTATATATATGCTGATATTTATTAATTATCTGCAGTGTTGTTGGATTCTAACATTGCATTTTAGAATATACGTAGTAGTTTTTAAAATATATTTTCCTAGAAGTACAAAGTTTAATAAACGAGAACGGAGGTAAATTTCAATTCAAAAGGCCAATAAAGGCGGACAACTGTTGCGGCCAATTCTGTCAGTGGTTTAATATCCAGTTAACTTGCCAACAATGGTGATAATTTATGTACTGATGACTGTGATTTGAAATTTGGTGTTTTTCTTCTTTTAGGCTAAACTTCCAACATCAGAGATAGCATCTGCAATCAATGAGTTTAGATCCCGTCACCTCTCTGAACTGACTGAGGTATAAGCTATTTCATATCTTTGACATGATCTGTTGCTACCCATTGATAAATAGTGTTTTAAATATACTGAATTCCGTGTTATTGCAGCTGTGTGAAGCTAGTGGAAGTTCACTAGGTTATGGATATTCTCGAGTCATGAGCAAACCCAAATCCCAACCAGTTGACTCTTCCGATGATAACCAAGTCATTGAGGGAACACTGGCTATATAAATTTGCAGCTAATACAACCAAGAGTAGAGAAGGCAACAAAATTGTATAGTTTCATTACATTCTCACTAGTGTAATTTGTATAGAATTTTTGGGCAAAAATATCAAAGGTAAATACTTCTTTTTCGTTTCTTAATGCTCATTTCCTCTTTGTGGGGAATCCAAAATTTTGACCAATTTGCCTTCTGAATCAAAAGCGAAGGAGCTTTCAACCTTTATGTTCGTTTTGAAAATTTGTAATTACGATATTTGACGAATGCCTTTATTTATCAATCTATCTCTAATAAAAGCTTTAGGAAATGAAAAGAAAATGTTCCTCTAAAATTGCCTTCATTTTCCCTTTTTTTCTTTTTTTGCTTTATTTTCCCTCACCAACGACTATAAGTCACTAAGTCTGTAATCAGTGGCGGATCCAGGATTTTCAATTAGAGGTAGCGCAATACGGGGTAACGCATAGTTATTTAAATATTTAAAACTAAAATTAAAATCGAACTTTATTTTAGGGATTTATATTTTAAAAAATCCTACAAAAAACGCTTAGCAAAATAATAAACCAATTGATTTTTTTGATGTCATGCATAGCATATTGTTATGCTCCATATTAATTGAAAATCTAGTTTAAAAGAAGCATATATACATTTGACTGAGAGCTTATTCGTAAAACAATTAATAAGATATATTATACGTATAAAAAATAATTTAATTAAAAACTGCATAATACTACTATGAAGTATCATATTATTTTATTTAATTAATACTAGTAAAACGTTGGCAATGCATATAAAATTTTAGTGAAAGTAGAACCCTAAAAGTGAGGTATAAACTTTGCGACAGCATTCCTACTCTTAAGCTACTAGTCAGAATCCTTTCTTGTAACCCAAAAATGGCTTCCATGATTTTCTCCGATTGTTCAACTGCTCGTCTTCTTCCTCTTCGCTGCCACTTTAGCTGTACCGGTCTTTCCTTTTCTCGCCGGGTTTCTCTTCCTCTCACTTCCTCAAGCCTTTTCTTACCTTCTCTCTCCTTCCAACCTCATGCTTCTTCAACTTTTGTTTCAGGTATTAATCGATCATCCCTTTTCTTTTTATTGCTTATTTGCGTCCTTTCAATTCTGGGTTTTCCTTCTTTTTATGTAATTCCTTTGGTTATTCACTGGCGCATTTTATCGAACACCTTTAAGGCTAATTGAAGTTTTCTCTGCAGGGATGATTTCCGATTGTCTTTTTTCATTGGTGTTTGTTTTCCTGTTGAATTTGAATTGGGGTTGTGGAATTTGATGGGGTTTAGCATCAAATTTGCTTACTTTATCATTTTTACTCCCAAAATTTAGGTGTTAGGTGTTTATTTCATTTGCAGGTGAATTTCATAGTTTAATTCAACTGTTTGTATATCATTGTTCCTTGAAAGTAAAATAATAATGGAAAAAATATAGGATGTGAATCATGTAATGTGTAGACGTTTGTGTATGATGCTGATTTTCGGAGTCATATTTAATTGGCTATTGCAAGTTACTCTTTTTATGATAACGTTGATTGATAATTGAAATGCTGTTGTCATACTTCTTAAATTTTCATTTGATGATTCATTGTAAGCTCCTATTACAGCTAATATGGCAACCGAGAGTTCTGCAAAAATTATTGATGGTAAGGCGGTGGCGAAGCAAATTAGGGAGGAGATAGGTGTTGAAATAGCAAGAATGAAAGAAGCTACCGGTATTGTTCCGGGGTTGGCTGTGATCCTTGTTGGGGATAGAAAGGACTCTGCAACGTATGTTCGTAATAAGAAGAAAGCTTGTGATGCAGTGGGAATTAATTCTTTTGAAGCTCATTTGCCAGAAGATACAACAGAGAAGGAAGTGCTCAACTCTATCTCTAAGTTCAATGAAGATCCTTCAGTCCACGGAATACTTGTTCAGTTACCTCTGCCTTCGGTATGCTTCTTGGAATGAATGGATCTTCCTGTCCCACATATTTTCTTCTGTTTATGTTGATATTATATCGTAATACTAAGGCTTTTCCTGCTGTTGTTTTGTTGGGAATAATTTAAAAAAGGATAGCTTTAATTTGTCAGTATTATCATGTTCCATGTTAATTCTTTGTGAATTAGTGTAACTATAATACCTTATCACAAGATGGATGTTGCTTAAGGTAGTTGTTATTTGGTAAAATGCGGTTCTTCACTATTTTATCTGCTTGTATAGTTGTATTGTCCTAATTATGTAGAAATTTTCAGTAGAAATCTGTTCTTGCAGCCACTAAATCCACTACAGTGAAAATAAGGCTTATTGCTCCATTACTCAATAATTTGGTTCTAAATCATAAACTTACGTGGGAAGATGTTTTCACTTAAATTTTTAAGGCTTATTGCTCCATTACTCAATAATTGGATTTTAAAAGGATGCTGACTATGTAGTGTGCACTACAACGATAAGGCATCCATGTAGGTGGCTGTCTAATTTACTAACTTTTTTACCGGTATGTGCTGATAAAAAAAATGCTTTTTGCAGCATATGAATGAGGAGAAAATTTTGAATGCTGTTGGAATTGAAAAGGATGTTGATGGTTTCCACCCTTTAAACATTGGCCGTCTTGCAATGCGGGGCAGGGAACCCTTGTTTGTCCCATGTACACCCAAAGGATGTATTGAGTTGTTGCATAGATATGGAATTCAAATAAAAGGGAAAAAGGCAGTTGTGATTGGCCGCAGCAATATAGTTGGGATGCCGGCTGCTCTTTTGCTGCAGGTAAGTTTAAATTGTTAGTTCATATTTTTTTCATGTATGCGTGAAATCAATCAAATCATGTTTTGTTGAACATTTCTTTCTATCCAATATGACCTTTAGAACACTTACCGTTTGCAGAGGGAAGATGCTACTGTTACTATAGTTCATTCTAGAACAAACAATCCCGAGGATATTGTAAAAGAAGCAGATATTATCATTTCTGCTGTAGGACAAGTAAACATGGTTAGGGGTAGCTGGATCAAGCCTGGTGCTGCTGTCATTGATGTTGGGATCAATCCAGTTGAGGTAAACCTGCAACATCTTATGTGCTCAACTACCTTCTTATTGGGCATGTTGTAATTTTAAATTTCCATTTAGTAGAGATTAGAGAATAGATTTATTAGCAGTTTATGCAAATTTCATGAATTAACAAAATAAAATATGAATGGTTAATGTGCGTTATAATGATTAGAAGTAAATCAGGAAGTGTCACCAATAATCCTAATTTAAATCAATAGAACTTATACTAACAGCACATTTTAAAATTTTAGTTTATCAGTTTAAGATAGTGTCAAATATTTTTGCTAAGATGTTTTATGCAACAACAGGATCCAGCAAGTCCTCGAGGATATCGTTTAGTTGGAGATGTTTGCTATGAAGAGGTTGTCAAGGTTGCTTCCGCTGTTACCCCTGTTCCTGGAGGTGTTGGTCCAATGACCATTGCTATGCTTCTTTCAAATACTCTCAGCTCAGCAAAAAGGATGCACAATTTCAGCTGATAATAGTGTTGATAGTTTCAGATTAGGAAGGTAGAAAGCAATTTACATGTTAGCCCGATTGCTTTGCTACACCTTATTTTTGCCCCCCTAACTGTAACAGCAACAAATAACAATCCAAGAGAAGCAGCACAATCGATAATCATTTGGGGCACCTTATTGATCTCAAGTGCTAAGAAGTAGAGGTTTTTGTAGGTTTAACTCCATCTTCACTCTGCAACATTTGCCCAATACATGTTGCATGCATCTAAGCCTATTTGTTGTAATACAAAATTTGATTTATGATAATCGTTTCATAGAATATGTCATATATCTATAGCAGGGGATTTACAAATGAAAATCGTGTTGCGTGTGTGTAACCCATTTGTTTTAAGTGATCCCCCTTTTATTTTGGCTGTGAAAATTTAAACAGGTAACCCCCATGTTCGGTTGTTCCTATGTCAATCCTGCCAAGTCCTAACTAGTTCAGATTTCGATTTTGTGTGCTAGTATTCTTGCCCACCATTATTTATACCCACAAGGTATGAGGTTTTAAGTAACATAAACTTTTCATTTTTGAACAATCCAAACAAGATATTAAAATTATTCATTTAATCATTTTTGAACAAAAACCGAACACGTACTCCATGTTAAGTTTGTAAAGTCCAAACCCGTACAGAGTATTATTCATTCATTTTAGTTTCATTCTCGATTTCAAACCTAGGTTTAGGAACAAGGGCGTATTCATTCATTTTAATTTCATTCTCGATTTTGAACCCGGGTTTAGGAACAAGGGTCCATAAAAGGAAAACGGGGTAAGCCCCGATGCCTACTAAAGGAAAGGATGCAAAATCCTGGCGCTCAAACTGTAAAGAGCAAGTATGGCGGAAGTGGAGAAGGAAGAAGGAAGCCCTCCGTTTTTCGTGGCAGTTCATGTCGGCGCCGGATTCCATGCTCCTTCCAACGAGAAGCCTCTCAGATCCGCCATGAATCGAGCTTGCCTTGCTGCTGCCGCCATTCTTCGCATGGTTTTACATCTTCCTCTTTCTCTCTTCTTTTTTCTTCTTCTTTTACGTCATTCAACTCGTTGCTTCTTTTTGGCTTTTACTGTGGTGTAGTTTCTACTATATTTCAATTTTGAATTCTATTCATAATTGTATGTTGAGATGATTTTTCATTTGGGAACTTATTTAAAATTGATTAATCCCCCAAAAAAGGGGGAAAAATTGCATATGATATCGTGTGAGTTGTTCAATTCCTACCCTTCATATAATCTGTCAGTGCATGATTGGTTTGATTTGGGATTTTTGATTTTTGGACAAGGGTTTAATTTTATAAGATAAAGGGTTATTGAAAATGGATTCTTGTGAAATACAGAGTAGTTTCTATGCTAGTGCCATTGGAACTCATTCTTCTTTCTCAAATTCGACTTAGGACTCTGGTGAATGTGTTGATGCAGTTGAAGCAGCAATTCGAGTTTTGGAGGTAATATTGCTTGTTTCAGTGTGTAGCTATGCATCCTTTTCCAAACGTTCTATTTTATGGAGGGACCATGTTATGACTATTGAGTTCTCCGTACTAGTTATAATCCATTGAGGCACTTTTATGATCACCTTATTTCACTTGTTTTAGGACTAATAAGTTAAAATAAGGGTTGATAAATTCAAATCAGGGTGATAGGGGTTACCAAGTACATAATACGGAGTATAATTCAGAACTATAATAAGTTCACATGAATGAAAATTAGGTGAATAGAATGTGCTCTATGTTAGGCCTTGGTGGAACTAAAATAATTTGATGGAGATATGCTTTCTCATATTCATCCATTGGATTGTTAATTACTTTGCTTTTCATAGAAACAATGGGGTTATTATATTAAGATCCTTCGTTCATCATCTTTAAGCCATTGTTAAGATTGTTAACACTTTGTTTTATCTCAAAATCCTGTATCCTTAAACCCAACTTTTTGTTTTGGTAGAATCCCATTTTCAACATGATTTTCTACTTGATGAAGTTGTTTGAACTTATGGAAAAAACATATGAGAAATTATTTTTGGTCCTGATGTTACTGCTAATATATTATTCACTGAGTCCTTCCTTCTAGATGGGAGAAGCATAGATTTATCAGGTATTCCATTTTATTTCCATTATTTACGCAATTTTCTTTTCTAAAGGATGATCCCAGCACAAATGCTGGCCGTGGCTCAAATTTGACAGAGGATGGCCATGTTGAATGTGATGCTAGCATTATGGATGGTGACTCTGGGGCATTTGCTGCTGTTGGAGCAGTTCCAGGTATTTAAATGCTGATTTCAGCATTTCCAGGTTGTCCAATTTTTTTATTCATTTTAATTCCTGATTCTTAATATTTTTCTCCATTCAATTATTTTGTAGATCAGGTGTTCGAAATCCCATCCAAGTTGCCGCTTGCTTAATCAAGGAACAAAAGATGGGACCTTCATTGCTTGGCCGAATGCCACCTACGTAATATTTCCTACTCTCGTCTTCTTTTTTTACAGAACTTGTATTCTCCAGTTGAGTATGGAAGTTTTTAAGCAGGCCATACAAGATTTCTAGAGCATGACTCAAGCCTTTAATATATATTAATTGGGACCATTTTGTATTAGGTATCATCTATGATTTGAATAGACAGTATGGAATATGGGGTCACTATGGTGTAGTTTGTTGCCAGGAAGCCATACTCTATTTTGACTTGTATATGTAGCTTCTAGGTATATACTCTGTCTGAAAGCTTCTTACACATTATATCTCTTGGCTGTTTATGTCCACAAACTCCATCATCAAGGCTTCAAAGGTCTTTAAGAGAAGAAACAGAAAGAATTGCAATAAGGGCATAATATAAAGGGGTTCCTTCTGTGTGAAAAATGGAATTGAAGAAGACCTCTCCATCAATCAAAATCAGAAAGGAAATAAAAAAAAAAGTAGCCTCCCTTGTGCTGTTTAGTGTGTAAAGGTGTCTCTAGTCTTTTACATTGTATTTAATGAGCACATAGGGCTAATCTCATTTAAATTGTTTTTGAGATGTATAATAGTTGGTGTTTTTGCAGCTTCTTAGTTGGTGAAGGTGCTCATAAGTGGGCAAAATCAAAGAGCATTACCTGTACTGACACAGTAACAGAAGCTGAAAAGGTTCCCACTACCATCTGAAAATAGGTTTATTTTTTCTATTAAATTTTGAGTAAAGTTTGTAACTTTGACTTGTGGGGGTTTCTATCTTGGAAGGGTGGATACTCTTTCTCTGGTTCTGTATTGTGTATAGCGTGACTTTTCATCTTATGGATACAGTGGTTAGTAACTGAAAGAACCAGATTACAATGGTGCAAGTATAAAGCAATGCTTGATGCTGCCAAGACACAGATAGGAGCAATGCTTCCTAGCAGTAGATCTCAGAAAAATGAGTTATTATTTGGTAAGTCTTTTCTACAAACAGTATTGATTTGTGCTCTAGATGTGGAAGCTTTCACCAGTGATGCTTTTGTAGGGATTGAGGATGTTGAGTCCTCTACATTGGGGGCAATAGAAGAAGACTGCATTATGGACACTGTTGGAGTCATATGTATTGATCGTGTTGGACAAGTTGCCTCTGGAGCCTCCAGTGGTGGTATTGCAATGAAGGTACTGAATTTGGGGTTGCTTCTTTTGGTCATCCAATTCATCTTCAATTCTACTCAATCTCTTCCCTGATCTCACTTAAATTTCTGCACCGGAAAAAAAAGTACTTAAAGTAGCTAATTCAAGTGAATTATTCTTCATCTATTTGTTTGCTGCACTGTATACTGAGTGGATCTCCGTGTTTCACCTCCCACTTTCCTGGTGTGCTGTGAGTGAGTATAACAATTTAAGACTATCAAAAGTAGAAGCTATTATTCCTACATCAAAGAATTACACTAGAAGAGAGTTGGGCAGGTTAAATAAAATTGACATGATAGAGCTGAAACCTCAAACTGCTAGTTTCTGCCAGATTCTCACCTTTTGATTGGTGGCACAGTGAAGCATGATGAGATTACAAGTACTAAGCGTAAGATTTTTTTTTTTTCCATCCTTATCAACTCCAGAATGAACCTAGTCCTTGAGATATGGGTTCTACTTACAAGGCTACAATCAAGCTATAAATGTTGGCATGTTCTGTAACTCTGTAATTTGATCTTTAGCTGATGAACACAATACTGGGTACCAGTATTCCCTGGCAACATTCTTGTGTAGGTTTGACTCGTGTATTATTTTATGTGCATCTGCGTGTCTTTGGTTAAATTCTAAGATACAATGCAAAATCGCCCACATTTTCCCCTTGTGCACTGGATTATTAATTCAGCCTCAAGAACTGTGGGTGCCCCATGTGATAAAAAGGTGGAGATTGATTAAATGCCTTGTGTTATATGTGCCTGTCTGTGTTGTGATGTTCTGTGTGTATTTGTCTGTATATCAGAAGTACATATGAAAAGAAAAACTCATTGTGTTGCTCCTAAATTCTGGATTTTCCATATGTTTTATAGGACATAGGAAAATTTATATTGCTTGGTGGAAGAAAAAGACTATTTATGTATCATTTGTTTCTGATTTGAGTGAATGAATTTAGTGTTGGTATTCTTTTTTTTAATTGCTTGATGTAAGCGGTGAAATAGCATTTGGATTTCATTTTCTACTACTTTTTCTTCATAAATAATACATATTCATATTTTAATTAAAGTGATATTTAGGTCTTTCTCCTATAGGTGAGTGGACGAGTAGGATTAGCAGGCATGTATGGATCTGGTTGTTGGGCATCCTCGAAGGGTCCCTTTGGAGCTCCATTTCTTGTAGGCTGTTGCACTACTGGAGCAGGAGAGTATTTGATGAGAGCTTTTGCTGCCAGAGAATGCTGCACATCATTGTCATTGTATTATATCTTGACCTTTTTTGTCCACAGCTTGAATATTGATGAGCTAGCATGTAGCATTTATATTTTTAGTATGTTCTCTAGAGGACTTGCAGTTGCTTTTACGTTGAATCTAATGCTTGATTAGTAATATATCAAATTCAAGAGGACAAATGTTGGCTCTTTTTCTTTCATTCTTTCTTCATTGTTGTTTTTAATAATGTCACTACTATTGTTGGCTAGCCATTTTCCTTGTAGACCAGATGGGGCTGTGTACTATTTTAGTCTGCTTTGTTCCTATTAAGAGGCTTATGCTAGCAATTTTGACTACTTTCTGTTGGGAAGTATTTAAAGTTGCTTGTGAAAATAATCTTTTTAAGTTGGTCCCCACTTTGATTTTTATTTTATAACTGGCAGTTTGAATGCCAGATCATATCCGAACTTGTGGCTGCTGTATTGCCTGTATTGGAGACTCTAGGTGTTGCTTATTCTTAGCCACCTCATTGATGGTATTTTTGGAGTATATTCTATCTTGATTTATGATCCTTGTTAAAAAAAATAACATCAAATTTCTGGAAAATTTCGGTAATTAACTATATATGTTCTTTGATATTTAGTATCTACTCTCTTTTCTTTCTTTGTTTTTGTTATTTTTAATGATAAAGACAGAAAGAAAATACATTGCTAACCTAATGAGCCTTTTTATGCTGATCTTGTATTTCTTGCGTACTTTTTAGAGCTTCTTGTACCCTTGGACCAATTCCTTAATTGATAATAACAGGTCCAACTAATAACAGGTCACAGGCAGGCCCGGCTTCTGCTTGTATCAAAATCCTTCGTTTGGTAGTTCAGGCTGGTACACAACAGGATGCCGATGGCAGTGCTGGGATCCTCCTCGTCCAAGCTGATGCTCCTCAGGTGGTAACTACCTGAACCAAATCCTTCCCTTGTGGAACTTGTTTTAGTTTTTATAGTTGTTCTTTTCCTCCTATTGACTTATTTTTATGTCTTCAAACTGTTTTGACATAATTGTTCTAGGGTCCTAATAATACACCAGAGCTGAAAGCAGTGGAGATTGCTGCTGGATATTCATCACAGTCATTTGGGATAGGATACTTTGGAAGCTCAATGGCAAAGCCCAAGGTACAATTTTTTTTCTTTTTTTTTTTTTTGTTTTTGGAACTTGTTGCATGGCATACAGCTGCTTATGCATAGTTTTCCATTTTTGCCGTTTTTAAATGTGATGCAAATTTCTCTGATAGGTTAATGTAACCTATTGTGTAGTGGATAGATTAATCCTTCCATCTGCTACTTTGATATAGCCCATCTCTGCTTTGGTTTTTGTGTTGTATAATTCCTTCATGGCTTCACCTATATCACATATATTTGATCCAAGGACGGGGCCTGGGATTGGGTGAGCTACTAGTTTTCTACCTTTGCCTGGATTTCCATAGGTGATGTACATTGAATATTGATTGTGACAGTGTCCAAGGGCCAGCACAGTTGATAATAGTAATAGATAGAGCTGTCAAAAGTTGACCCGACCCGAAATACCGACTCAAACCCGATTATTAACCGATCCATCTGAACCCGAAAAAATGGTGACCCAAACCCGACCTGACCCTGAAACCAACCCTAGACCCGAGTTGACCCGATTATGTGAGACCCAAACCCGAACATGAACTGACCTTGAGATGACCCGGCCCGAATGTAACCCGTAAATTATTGACCTGAACCGAACCCGACTTGAACCGAAATTGACCCAAACCCGTTTTAACCCGTCAAAACTCGAATTTAACCCGACTTGTTACTAAACTGACCAAAATTCAACCCGACCTGCTTCTAACCCGACCCGAATTTAACCCAACCTGTTAAAAACCCGACTTGAAATCAACCCGACTTGTTATTGACCCCACCCAAATTTAACCCGCCTTGTTATCGACCCGACCCAAATTTTACCAGACCTATTACTTACTCGACACAAAAATTCAATCCGATCTTTTACTAACCCGACTCGAAATCAAAACGACTTGCTATTGGCCCGACCTAAATTCAACCTAAATTGTTCCGCAAATTATTGACTTGAATCGATCCCGACTCGAACCCGAGAATTACCCTAACTCGTAAAAACCCGAAATAAACCCGACCTATTGTTTACACGACCCGAATGTAACCCGACCGGTTATTAACCCGACCTAAACCCGACCCTAAACCGACAAGAAGAATGACCCAACGTGTTCCGACTCAAGCATGAACCAACACCGCAGGTTATGGAATTAATCCGAATTGACCCGACCCACTCTTACCGACCCGTTTACCCGAATTGATAGCTCTACCCGAAACTCCAAAAATTCTCAAAAAGCGTGGATATTTGCCTTCAATTTTGGAATTTTTTGACCTTTTTTCACCCGGAAATAAAATTTGCCGAAATGTTTACCATGTTCCCTATTATCCTCCGGGAGTCCAATTGGATGGGTGGAACCATCCAATTTGCCTTTAAACGGCCAATTTACCGATTTACAACTTGCACCAATTTCATTGACTCAAGCTTACCGCGAACATTTATGACAACATATAATGATCATATATGGATCCAACAGCATTATAAGCATTACAAACCAGAGATGTATCCCCTAAAATCTTAATGCTTTTCGACACCAGGCCCCGAAACATTCGACATTTCTCAAAAAACGTGGATATTAACCTTCAATTTTTGAATTTTTGACTTTTTCTTGCCCGGAAATAAAATGCCGAAATGTTTACCATGGTCTCTAATATCCTTCAGAAGTTCAATTTGGTGGTGGAACCATCCAATTTGCCTTTAAACGACCAATTTACCGGTTTACAATTAACGCCGATTTCATTAACTCAGTCTTACCACAAACATTTATGACAACATATAATGATCATATATGGTTCCAAACGGCATTATATGACCCCATCCCTAAAATCTCATTTCTTTTCGACATCGGGCCCCCCGAAACCTCTAAAATTTCTCAAAAAACGTGGATATTAGCCTTATATTTTGGATTTTTTTTACTTTTCTTCGCCCGGAAATAAAAATTGCCGAAATGTTTACCATGGTCCCTAATACCCTCCGGGAGTCCAATTAGGTGGGTGAAACCATCCTATTTGCCTTTAAACGACCAATTTATCGGTTTACAACTTGCACCGATTAAATTAACTCAAGCCTACTATGAACATTTATGACAACATATATATTCATATATGGTTCCAAACGACATGATTCCGAGATGTATCCCCTTAAATCTCAAAAAATTTCGATACCGGGCCTCGAAACATCCCAAATTTCTCAAAAAGCGTGGATTTCAACTTTGGAATTTTTAACTTTTTTTCGCTCGGAAATAAAAATTGCCGAAATGTTTACCATGGTCCTTTATACCCTCCGAGAGTCTAATTACTTAGGTAGAACCATCCAATTTGACTTTAAACGGCCAGCTTACCGGTTTACAACTTGCACCGATTTCATTAACTCAAGCCTACCACGAACATTTATGACACATATAATGATCATTTATGGTTCCAAACGGCATTATATGACCCCGAGATGTGTCCTCTAAAATCTCATTTCTTTTTGACATTGGGCCTTGAAACTTTCGAAATTTTTCAAAAAACATGGATATTAGGCTTCAATTTTAGAATTTTTTGACTTTTTTTCGCCCAGAAATAAAAATTGCTGAAAACTTTACCATGGTCCCTAATACCTTTCTAGAGTCCAATTGGGTGGGTGGAACCATCCAATTTGTTTTTAAACGGCCAACTTATCGGTTTACAACTTGCACTTATTTCATTAACTCAAACCTACCACGAACATTTATGACATATATAATGATCATTTATGGTTCCAGTCGGCATTATATGACCCCGAGATGTATCTCCTAAAATCTCATTTCTTAAAAAGCATGGATATTAGCCTTCAATTTTAGAATTTTTTGACTTTTTTCGCCTGGAAATAAATGTCGAAATGTTTGTTATGGTCCCTAATACCCTCCTAGAGTTTAATTGGGTGGGTGGAACCAAAAATTGACCCAAACCCGTTTTAGCCCGTCAAAACCCGAATTTAACCTGACTTGTTACTAACCTGACCTGAATTCAACTTGACCCGTTCCTAACCTAATCCGAGTTTAACCCGACTGGTTATTGACCTGACCCGAAATCAACCCGACTTGTTATTGACCTGACCCGAATTCAACCCGACTTGTTATTGACCTAACCTTAATTTAACCCGACCTTTTATTGACCCGACTCGAATTTTACCGTACCTATCACTTACCCTACCAAAAAATTCAACACGATCTGTTACTAACCCGACTTGAAATTAACACGACTTGTTATTGACCTGACCTAAATTCAACCCAAATTGTTCCTGACCCGATTTCAAATCACCTTAAATGCAATTTGGACCACTTTATTATTGTTGACAAAGCATTTTGTCTTGGGAGACCAAGTCGGTCCAGCCAGCAAAAGAAAGGAGCATCTTCCTCAAATTTATGAGTTAAATATAGTATATATTTGTTGTATGGTAAAAGGAGATAATTATCTTCCTAAATTATTATATAGTTCCCTAGTATATTGCCATATATATTATGGTCAAAGGAAATTATTAGCTTGATAAAAAAGATAATTATCTATTTATAGTTAGTTGAACCCTGACCTGATTGTAACCTGCAAATTGTTGACTTGAACATAACCTGACTTGAATCCGAGAATGACCCAACCTGATTATAACCCGCAAATTATTGACTTGAACCGAACCCGACTTGAACCCGAGAATGACCCGACTTGAAAATGACTATAATCCGCAGATTATTGCATTGAACCGAACCTGACTCAAACCCAAGAATAACCCCACCTGATACTAACCCGCAAATTATTGACTTGAACCGAACCCGAGTCGAATCTGAGAATTACCCTAACCCGTTTTAACCTGTGAAAACTCAAATTAATTCCGACCTATTGTTCACGTGACCCGAATATAACCCGACCTAAACTCGACCCAAACCCGATAAAAAGTATGACCCGACTCAAGCATGACCTAACCCAAACCCGACCTGCATAGGTTATGGAATTAATCTGAATTGACCCGACCCGAGTTGACCCGACCCACTCCTATCCGACCCGTTTACCTGAATTTACAACTCTTAGTAATAGATATACTGTTTCCTCTCCAAAAAAAAAAAAAAAAAAAAAAAAAAACGTTCTTATAGTGATAATTTTCCTATAGTCCTATGATTGTCTATCTGTTACCAACCCTTAACATATGATATGCCAATGTTCAAAGCTGTTGCTTGCTTTATGGTTATATATCTAGTGGGAAAAAAATTATTAGCAGGGTTCAAATGTCCATTATTTGGCAATAAATGAAAATGCTATGTAGCATTTTTACTTCATCATGCAGGTTCATTATCTTGCAAAAATTATTAGCAGGGTTCAAATGTCCATTATTGGCAATAAATGAAAATGCTATGTAGCATTTTTACTTCATCATGCAGGTTCATTATCTTTGCTAAAATTATTAGCAGGGTTCAAATGTCCATTATTGGCAATAAAAGAAAATGCTATGTAGCATTTTTACTTCATCATGCAGGTTCATTATCTTGCAAAAATTACTTCATAATCTGCTTCATGCAGGTTTCAATTTTACGGAACAAGAAACTGCAGACCATGAAAGGGGTAGACCACTTTGAAGCCAGAATCAATGTAGCAATTGGAAGCTGAAGTTTCAGCTCCCTTGGCAGTCATCGTTTCCTTACATTGTCTTCAGTAGTCTGTGACTGCAATATTTTTGGACCAAGTGTGGTCACTATTAAACAATTGAGAACCAGAGACAGCATGCCAAAAGGCCAAAAGCTGTTGTAAGCTTGAATGGAAAACTTGTAGATATGTAATGTAAAATATTCATACATTTGTTATGGTTACATTCAGTGAAAACAATCATTTGATCTGAAATCGGCTTGAATATGAAATTCCTTTTATTCATATGAAGAAACTTCATTTCTTAAAAAGAAAAGACCAGAAGAAGAACCATGGGGAAGCAATGCTAATCTCACTGGACTCGCACCCCCTTCTTCAACTGTTAAATATCCCGTGTTTCCATTGATATCTGTCCTAACATAGCCAGGGCAAACACAGTTGATGATGATTGATGGGTTTTTCTTGGCCAATATTTGTGTATATGCATTCAAAGCTGCCTTTGACACTATATAGGCTGTCATAAAAGAAGGCCATCCCTTCTCTTTAATTGAACCATCCTTAAAGTCTGTCATCAACTCGTTCAGAATATCATCTACTTGTTCTTCTGTAAGGCTCTCTGAGTCGCCTAGGATTCGTTTGATTCTCTCATTTGGTATATTCTGTGGGGAAAAGAAATATAAAAAATGATACATTCTTCAGAAGATGAGATTCTATACATATAGAGAAAAATGCAAGTATATATGTACCTTCAACTTCCCCGCACCAGAGGAAACATTGATGATTCTTGGTGAGTCTGATAACTCGAGGAGAGGAAGCAAAGCTTTAGTGGTTCTCTTTACTCCATAGTAGTTTGTTTCCAAGCATTCTTTTGCAAGCTCATATGTCTGTGTCATCATCTCAGCAACATTGTCCGGTAATCCTGATGACTACAGACTACATATTTCAATATCGATCATCATAAAACATTACTGAGTGCATAAACAGACCTTCTAGGACATTATTTTATCAGGAACAAAGTCTTGTGTGAAATAGTCTAACATGATTTATTTGTCACTTTAGAGATTACTTCTAATATAAGGGTAACCCTTAATTACTCTGTGTTAGTTGGTTTGAGATGATCAGTTCCAATATTTGCTCTTTCACTAGAAAGAGGGGTTAATGAACAAATAAGAACCTTTATCATCTGCTCAAAAACAAAGAAACATTACTCCCTCAGAGAATACTTACTGTTCCAAAACCTGCTGCTTTTAAAGCATCAAAGTCAGCCTTAATTCCAATAGTCCCAGCATTGTTCACCTACAAAATAATTACTGGGTTACCTTTATAATTTCTCCAAACAATTAAAATGAGCATACATCGACTTACAGGGTCTATAGAGATCAGATGTACGCAACCTTATCCTAAATAGTTGAAATACGTATTGAAATTAACATAAACAAGTAACCAAGTCAATATTACCAGTATATCAAGCTTGCCAAATTTAGAGTTGATGAAACCAGAAAGAGTAGCAATACTCATGGTATCAGTAACATCAAGCTGATGAAAAAGAAGATTTTCGGCGCTTATTCCGGATTTGATGAGATCATTAAGGGCTTCTAATCCTTTCTTTCCATCTCTTGATGTTAGAAGTACCACCACTCCATGAGAAGCAAGTTGTTTGCATATTTCTAGCCCTATTCCTTTGTTTGCTCCTGTTACCACTGCATATCTGCATGATCCACAAATAAACTCAGATTATAAACCAAGATAAATGATTCGTTAGAAAATGTAATCAACAAAGAAAAAATTTAGATTACCTTTTTTCAGCTAGAAAGTTGAATGGTTGAGTCATTTTTTTTCCCTTTGAACAGGATAGTGTTGCTTTGTTGGGTCTCTTAAATTATATTGAGTGTTATTCTGCTTTATGTTTGGTATTTGATGGAGATTGGGGGGCCAATAATTTGACTATAATTGTCGTTACATGTTAATAACATGGACTCTTTCTACGTAGTATTTCTTTTTACAACGTCCTTAGTCAAGTCAATTTTTATTATATAATTCGGTATGACTTAATTTTGGCCTATTGTAGTATTCACGTATTCACTTTAGATCGCGTAACTTCTTGATTTTGGATGGTATATCATTGTATATAATCCATCAGTTGGGTACAAGTAGATGTTATCTACAATCAAATTAAAATGATGATTAAATCAGATCAAGGTACTTGTTAGTTCTTAATATATCACAAGTGGGGATTAGTTTTGATTCATTACGGACTGTAAGAAACTAAGGGCTTGTTTGGCATCATTTTTGGTTTTTAGTTTCCTTTTTTTTTTTTAAACCAAAAACAGGAAACAAGAAAAAGGTGTTTCCACTTTTCAAAATTTTCATAATTTTAATAAGTTTAAATAAATTTTGATTCATTATGAGGTATATATATTATATACTTTTAAAAAACAAAAAACCAAAAAACAGAAAACAACAGCAATGTCAAACGAACCCTAAGATAAAGATTTCAAGTTCTACCACATCAAAAAAAAATTCATCGTTTTTTAACAAAGCATCACAACTTTTTTTTTTGGCTCGAATTAGTATTGCGCTATTACCTACCAAATCAAGAAGTGATATACAAGTACAAATAGAACTGTCAATTCGGGTAAACGGGTCGGGTTTGGGTCGGGTAAGAGTGGGTAAGGTCAACTCGGGTTGGGTCAATTCAATTTAATTCCATAACCTATGTGGGTCAGATTTGGGTTGAGTCATGCTTGAGTCGGGTCACGTTGGGTCATACTTTTTATCGGGTTTAGGTCGGGTTACATTCGGGTCGGGTGAACAATAGGTCGGGTTTAATTCAGGTTAAAACGGGTTACGGTAATTCTCAGGTTTGAGTCGGGTTCGGTTCAAGTCAATAATTTGCGGGTTAGAATCAGGTCGGTTCATTCTCGGGTTTGAGTCGGGTTCGGTTCAAGGCAATTATTTGCATATCATAATCAGGTCGGGTCATTTTCAAGTCGGGTCATTCTCGGGTTCTAATCTGGTTCGGTTCAAGTCAATAACTTGTGGGTTATAATCAGGTTGGGTCATTTCCAAGTCGGGTCATTCTCGGATTCAAGTCGGGTTATGTTCAAGTCAATAATTTGCAAATTACAATCAGATCGGGTCATTTCCAAGTCGGGTCATATTCGGGTTCAACTAAGTATAAATAGATAATTATCATTTTTATCAAGCTAATTATTTCCTTTGACTATAATATATATGGCAATAGACTTGTGAACTATAGTCTATAATTTAGGAGATAATTATCTCCTTTGACCGTACAATAAATATATACTATATTTAACTTTTAAATTTGAGGATGATGCTCCTTTCTTTTGCTGGCCTGGACCGTAGTGGTCTCCCAAGACAAAAATGCTTTGATCAACAATAATAAGGTGGTCGAAATTGTATTTAAGGTGATTTGAAATCGGGTCAGGAACAATTTGGATTTAATTTAGGTCGTGTCAATAACAAGTCGTGTTAGTTTCGAGTCGAGTTAGTAACAGACCAGGTTGTATTTTTTGGTTGGGTAAGTAATATGTAAGGAAAATTTGGGTCAGGTCGATAACATGTCGAGGTGAATTTGGGTTAGGTTAATAACAAGTCGGGTTAAATTTGAGTCGGGTTTATAATTTAACAGGTTGGGTTAAAGTCGAGTCAGGTTAGGAATGGGTCGGGTTGAATTCAGGTCATGTTAGTAACAAGTAGAGTTAAATTCGGGCTTTGACGAGTTAATACGGGTTTGGGTAAATTTCAGTTCACGTCGGGTTTGATGCATGTTAAGTAAATTGGCCGTTGTAAACCGGTAAATCGGTGCAAGTTGTAAACCGATAAATTGGCCATTTAAAAGCAAATTGAATGGTTCCACACACCGAATTGGACTCAGGAAAGGTATTAGGAACCATAGAAAACATTTCGGAAATTTTTATTTCTGGGCGGAAAAAAGTCAAAAATTCTAAAATTGAAGGCTAATTATCCACGCTTTTTGAGAAATTTTGGAGGTTTCGGGTCCCAGTGTCGAAAAATCTTGATATTCTATGGGATACATCTTAGGGTCATATAATGTCATTTGGAACCATATATGATCATTATTTGTTGTCATAAATGTCTGTGGTAGGCTTGAATTAATGAAATCGGTGCAAATTGTAAATCGATAAATTGATCGTTTAAAGGCATATTGGATGGTTCCACCAACCAAATGTGACTCCCGAACAATATTATGGACCATGCTAAACATTTCGGCAATTTTTATTTTCAGGCGAAAAGTAAAGTCAAAATTTTCAAAATTGAAGGCTAATATCCACGCTTTTTGAGAAATGTTAGTTAATTCGGGGCCCGTGTCAAACAGTCTTGAAATTCTAGCGGATACATCTCGGGGTCATTTAATGCCGTTTGGAACCATATATGATCATTATTTCTTGTCATAAATGTTCGTGGTAGGCTTGATTTAATGAAATCGGTGCAAGTTATTAGTGGTAAATAGGCCGTTTAAAGGCAAATTGGATGGTTCCACCCACCCAATTGGACTCCCGAAGGGTATTAGGGACAATGGTAAACATTTTAGCAATTTTTATTTCTAGGTGAAAAAAAGACAAAAAAATCGAAAATTAAAGGCTAATATCCACACTTTTTGAGAAATTTTGGAGGTTTCGGGGCCCGGTGTCGAAAAGTCTTGAAATTATAGGGGATACATCTCGGGGTCATTTAATGCCGTTTAAAACCATATATGATCATTATTTGTTGTCATAAATGTTCTTGGTAGGCTTGAATTAATGGAATCGGTGTAAGTTGTAAATCAGTAAATTGGTCGTTTAAAGGAAAATTGGATGGTTCCACCCACCAAATGGGACTCCCGGAGGGTATTTGGTACCATGGTAAACATTTCGGCAATTTTTATTTTCAGGCGAAAAGTAAAGTCAAAAATTTCAAAATTGAAGGCTAATATCCACGCTTTTTGAGAAATGTTAGTTAATTCGGGGCCCGTGTCAAACAGTCTTGAAATTCTAGCGGATACATCTCGGGATCATTTAATGCCGTTTGGAACCATATATGATCATTATTTCTTGTCATAAATGTTCGTGGTAGGCGTGATTTAATGAAATCGATGCAAGTTATTAATGGTAAATAGGTCGTTTAAAGGCAAATTGGATGGTTTCACCCACCCAATTGGACTCCCGAAGGGTATTAGGGACAATGGTTAACATTTTAGCAATTTTTATTTCTAGGTGAAAAAAAGACCAAAAATTCGAAAATTAAAGGCTAATATCCACGCTTTTTGAGAAATTTTGATGGTTTCGGGGCCAGGTGTCGAAAAGACTTGAGATTTTAGTAGATAGATCTCGGGGTCATATAATGCCGTTTGGAACCATATATGATCATTATATGTTGTCATAAATGTTCGTGGTATGCTTGAATTAATGAAATCGGTGTAAGTTGTAAATCGGTAAATTGGTTGTTTAAAAGCCAATTGGATGGTTCTACCCACCCAATTGGACTCCCAGAGGGTATTAGGGACCATGGTAAACGTTTCGGCAATTTTTATTTTCGGGCGAAAAAACGTCAAGAAATTCCAAAAATAAAGGCTAATATCCACAATTTTTGAGAAATTATGGAGGTTTTGGGGCCCGGTGTCGAAAAGTCTTGAAATTATAGGGGATACATCTCGGGGTCATTTAATGCCGTTTGGAACCATATATGATCATTATTTGTTGTCATAAATGTTCGTGGTAGACTTGAATTAATGAAATCTGTGTAAGTTGTAAATCGGTAAATTGGTCGTTTAAAGGTAAATTGGATGGTTTCACCCACCAAATGGGACTCCCGGAGGGTATTTGGTGCCATGGTAAACATTTTGGCAATTTTTATTGTCAGGCGAAAATAAAGTCAAAAATTTCAAAATTGAAGGCGAATATCCACGCTTTTTGAGAAATGTTATTGAATTCGGGGCATGTGTCAAAAAGTCTTGAAATTGTAGGGGTTACATCTCGGGGTCATTTAATGCCGTTTGGAACCATATATGATCATTATTTCTTTTCATAAATGTTCGTGGTAGGCTTGATTTATTGAAATTGGTGCAAGTTATTAATCGGTAAATAGGCCGTTTAAAGGCAAATAGGATGGTTCCACCCACCTAATATGACTCCCGAAGAGTCTTAGAGACAATGGTAAATATTTTAGCAATTATTATTTCTAGGTGAAAAAAAGATAAAAAAATTCCAAAATCAAAGGCTAATTATCCACGTTTTTTGAGAAATTTTGGAGGTTTCGGGGTCAGGTGTCGAAAAGGCTTGAGATTTTAGTAGATACATCTCGGGGTCATATAATGCCGTTTGGAACCATATATGATCATTATTATTGTCATAAATGTTCGTGGTAGGCTTGAATTAATGAAATCGGTGCAAGTTGTAAATCGGTAAATTGGTTGTTTAAAAGCCAATTGGATGGTTCCACCCACCCAATTGGACTCGCATAGGGTATTAGGGACCACGGTAAACATTTCGGCAATTTTTATTTTCGGGCGAAAAAACGTCAAAAAAATCCAAAATTAAAGTTTTATATTCATACTTTTTGAGAAGTTTTGGAGGTTTCGGAGTCTGGTGTCGAAAAGTCTTGAAATTATAGGGGATACATCTCGGGGTCATTTAATGCCGTTTAGAACCATATATGATCATTATTTGTTGTCATAAATGTTCCTGGTAGGCTTGAATTAATGAAATCGGTGTAAGTTGTAAATCAGTAAATTGGTCGTTTAAAGGCAAATTGGATGGTTCCACCTACCAAATGGGACTCCCGGAGGGTATTTGGTACCATGGTAAAAATTTCTGCAATTTTTATTTTCAGGCGAAAATAAAGTCAAAAATTTCAAAATTGAAGGCTAATATCCACGCCTTTTGAGAAATGTT